TGCGGGACATGAGAGAAGCCTCCCACAAGGATGATAAAAACATCAAATCATCCGGGTGTCCCCTGGGCAACGTCCTTGCAGACGGCCAATCCTCTCACACCAGAAGCGACTTGCAGTTTCTCAAGTCGCTCCTGACACGACAAAAAAAAAAAAAAAAACTTCAAAGAGGGGAAAAAGAGGACCCAGGCAACTGCTGATGAGTAGTCTTGTGCATGGATTTGTTTTGGCCGTTTGCCTTTGGTTTCTTCGGCCTGGCTAGATGATCGTAATGGCAAGAGCACAACCACAATTTTTTTTAGCCCGAAACAGCCCACGTGGCTGCTGGGTGCAGCTACTTCCCTGCCAGACCTAACAACCTCTACCATAGATGCTTGCCATAGATGCAGGTGAAACGTCAGGAGAGAATGCCTCTAGAACACGGTCCAAAAACCCTATAACAACCCAGTACTTCCCTTCTATTTGGGAGCATGCAGCATGTGGAGGGGCTGCCACGTGCTATCATGGGGTTTCCCTGTGAGCACTGCCTGTTGGGCCAATCAAAGTAGACGAACATGGTGACACGTCTTACACAATCTGTGTCTATTTCATGGGGTGAGCACCTCCATTGCTCAGTTGCATTCTGGCTCTGAGAGGTGCTGCTTCAGTCCGATTGCCTTGCCTATTTTGCCTTGCCTTGCTGCTTGCTCGCAGCTCTGCTTTAGCTTTTTGCTTTGCTTGGCTTGACTTCTAGCATCGTATTTTTTATTTTTCTTTATTTTCTTGATTCTTTTTATTCAGTGGGACTGGGAGTTGAAAAGTGTGGATGGGTGGGTGTACATTTTTGGGAACTTGGGAGAAAAGAAAGAACATCTTTTAGGTGGGTGGATGTGCTTTTCTTTAAAAATGTTACAGTGGCTTTGAGCCTTGAGATACCCTTTAGTTTCTTCTCTTCTCTCCCCTCTTTATATTTTTCCTCCTCCTTCCCCTCCTTCAGAATTTTTTAAAAGATAATAAATATTAATAATAATCATTCCGCAAACAGCAAAGCCTCATTCTCAGAAAACTACTACCTGCCTTTCGACCTACCTAAACTTACCATCAATACTTATAATTTAATTCCTTTGTAAACAAGCTAACTTTATTGTTTATATGTGCTCTCTGCCTTCTTAATTTAATAATAATAATAATAATAATTATTATTATTATCATTATTATTATTATTTGGCTGTTGGTGCCTAATAATAATAACAGCCAGCAGAGTGATCTTGTTTGCTGTGGACTCCTCTTGTTGTGTTTCAAATAATAATGTATTGTCGCAGGCTTTCATGGCTGGAATCACTGGGTTGTTCTAGGTTTTTTGGACTGTATAGCTATGTTCTAGAGCAGGGGTCCTCAAACTTTTTAAACAGAGGGCCAGATCACAGCCCTTCAAACTGTTGGAAGGCCGGATTATAATTTGAAAAAAAGAAGAAGAAAAGAATGAATTCCTATGCACACTGCATATATCTTATTTGTAGTGCAAAAATAATTTTAAAGCAATACAATAATTAAATGAATAATTTTAACAAATATAAACTTCTTAGTAATTCAATGGGAAGTGCGGGCCTGCTTTTGGCTGATGTGATAGGATTGTTGTTGTTCTGTGCTTTTAAGTCATTTTAGACTTAGGTTGATCCTGAGCGAGGGCCAGGTAAATGACCTTGGAGGGCCATATCTGGCCCCCGGGCCTTAGTTTGAGGACCCCTGTTCTAGAGTGTATAGTAGGGCTGGGCAACCATGGAAAAAATTGTTTCTAAACTCGATTCGTTTTTTGGGGTTTTTTGCGTTTCAATATTTAAAAGAATTTCTCACCTGGGGCTTCTGCCGCTTCCTCTCCTCTTCCTGACTCAGAAGGAAGCCTTCAGCCAAGGCCACGGCCTGGGAACTGGTCTCTGCCCCACATTCCCTCACCCAGCGCTCCATCTCCGCAGGAAGGACGGCCAGGAACTGCTCCAGGATCACCAGGTCCAGCATCTCCGCCTTGGAGTGTCGCTCGGGCTTCAGCCACAGGCGGCAGAGAGAGTGGAGGCGGCTGCAGGCCTCTCGGGGCCCCAAGGCCTCCTCATAGTGGAAATGCAAGAAACGCTGGCGCTGAAGGTCTGAATGGAGCAGACTGCTCTCCCGATCTTTCCGCCAAGGGTCCTCCAATAATGCTGTATTGTTCTCTGCCTCAACAGCAGAAGAAAATCCTTCTAACTTGGCTGTAGCTGGCTCTTTCCCTTCCATCTTGGTTTTGTGCTTCTAGGCTGCCTCCAAACTGGACGAAGGTATGTTCACGTCTTCTCTCAAATGACATTCAAAGCAGAAGGACTGGGACCACTGGTGGGGCCTGCAAACAAAACAAGATGAACGAGCTCATAGGAATACTCTCGAAGAAGGATGGCAAAAAAGCCAATGGGATTTTGGCCTGTATCAATACGAGTCTAGTGTCTAGATCCAGGGAAGCCATGCCTACCCCTCTACTCTGCCTTGCTAGACCACATCTGGAATATTGTGTCCAATTCTGGGCACCACAATTCAAGAGAGATATTGACAACCTGGAATGTGTCCAGAGGAGGGTGACTAAAGTGATCAAGGGTCTGGAGAACAAGCCCTATGAGGAGCGGATTAAAGAGCTGGGCATGTTTAGTCTGAAGAAGAGAAGGCCGAGAGAAGACATGATAGCCATGTATAAATACATGAGAAGAAGTCACAGGGAGGAGGGAGCAAGCTTGTTTTCTGCTGCCCTGGAGACTAGGCCGCAATGGAACAATGGAACCCCTACGAACCCACATGATCTCTTTGATTTTCCGGAGAGGCTCTTCTTTCGCTCCCGCCCGCATCGCAAGTGCGACTTGCGGGAACGAGAGAGAGGGTCTTCTCTGCGGTGGCTCCCCGGCTCTGGAACTCACTCCCCAGAGATATTTGGCAAGCCCCCACATTGGCAATCTTCAGGAGGAATCGAAAAACCTGGTTATTCCAATGTGCCTTCAGCATTTATTTATTTATCGTCTCAGTATCAACCAGACAATTGTATTACATTTTAAACAAATTTTTAACAAACAGACAAAACAGAGTTTGCAAGCTTGGTAGTTGATTAAATGTCCTTTGACCAGTATCTGGCCACTTGGAGTGCCTCTGGTGTTGCTGCAAGAAGGTCCTCCATTGTGCATGTGGCAGGGCTCAGGTTGCATTGCAGCAGGTGGTCAGTGGTTTGCTCTTCTCCACACTCACATGTCGAGGATTCCACTTTGTGGCCCCATTTCTTGAGGTTGTCTCTGCATCTCGTGGTGCCAGAGCGCAGTCTGTTCAGCGCCTTCCAAGTCGCCCAGTCTTCTGTGTGCCCAGGGGGGAGTCTCCACTTTGGTATCAGCCACTGATTGAGGTTCTGGGTTTGAGCCTGCCACTTTTGGACTCTCGCTTACTGAGGTGTTCCAGCAAGTGTCTCTGTAGATCTTAGAAAACTATGTCTTGATTTAAGTCGTTGACGTGCTGGCTGATACCCAAACAAGGGATGAGCTGGAGATGTCTCTGCCTTGGTCCTTTCACTATTGGCTGCTACTTCCCGGCGGATGTCAGGTGGTGCAATACCGGCTAAACGGTGTAATTTCTCCAGTGGTGTAGGGCCCAGACACCCCGTGATAATGCGGCATGTCTCATTAAGACATCCACTGTTTTAGCGTGGTGAGATGTGCTCCACACTGGGCATGCATACTCCGCAGCAGAGTAGCATAGCGCAAGGCCAGACGTCTTCACTGTATCTGGTTGTGATCCCCAGGTTGTGCCAGTCAGCTTTCGTATGATGTTGTTTCTAGCACCCACTTTTTGCTTGATGTTCAGGCAGTGCTTCTTGTAGGTCAGAGCACAGTCCAGAGTGACTCCCAGGTATTTGGGTGTGCTGCAATGCTTCAGTGGGATTCCTTCCCAGGTAATCCTCAGAGCTCGGGATGCTTGTCTGTTCTTAAGGATGAAAGGCACATGTCTGTGTTTTAGATGGATTAGGGATCAGCTGGTTTTCCCTGTAATAGGCAGTAAGAGCGCCTAGAGCTTCAGTGATTGAATCTAAGTTTCTCCCTGACCACACTTAGCACAAATTGCCTTAGAAGCACTTTATCTTATGGTTTGTGCAATGAAGTCCTTCTTATAATTTACACTCCTCCTTATAATTTACACTGTCCTATCTCCCAGTGTATTAAAGTTTTAATTTTTTGGATTGTGGGTTTGATGATGAGACAACTCGGAATGGATTTTGTAGTAATGTTGATGTTGATGTTTTGATAAGATGTTTTTCTGATAATGATGTATTGTGGATTATTTTACACTATGTCTTGTAATTTGCACTTGTTTCCATGTTGTACACCGCAATGAGTTGCCCTTGGGCTGAGAATTGCGGTCTATAAGCTCAGTAAATAAATAAATAAATAAATATGATAGCCATGTCTAAATATGTGAGAGGAAGCCACAGGGAGGAGGGAGCAAGCTTGTTTTCTGCTTCCTTGGAGACTAGGACGCAATGGAACAATGGCTTCAAATCTACAAGAGAGGAGATTCCATCTGAACATGAGGAAGAACTTCCTGACTGTGAGAGCCGTTCAGCAGTGGAACTCTCTGCCCCAGAGTGTGGTGGGGGCTCCTTCTTTGGAAGCTTTGAAACAGAGGCTGGATGGCCATCTGTCAGGGGTGCTTTGAATGCAATATTCCTGCTTCTTGGCAGAACGGGGTTGGACTGGATGGCCCAGGAGGTCTCTTCCAACTCTGTGATTCTATGATTCTATGACCCAAACCCTCTCCCGGGCTCTCCTCCATTGCCTGGCCCTTCCCTGGCTTGCTCTCTCACTATCTTTCTCATTCTCCCCACCCGTTTCCAGGCAGGCCCTCCTCTGGGGGCAGGCGGTGAGGCCTCTGTCCCTCCAGCCTCTCCCACCCTCGTGGAAGGAGGCCCTTGGCCGGATCCCAGAGGCCCCCTTGCCTCCCTCCCTCCCTCCAGGACAGAAGCGACTCACCTGCTGCAGCTCTTTCCCTCGGAGGACTGATTCTCTTCCGGAAGCAGCACTCCTCTCCCGCCTCGGAGGACCAACACTCCAGCTAAGGGACGTCTCTTCCGGTGCCTCTCTAGGAAGGGACGCGCTCACCACTGGCCACAAGGGGCGGGGCTTGAGCTGTGGGCGGCCCTTGCTTCCTTCCCCTCTAGGAACTCCTTTTTCACTGGGTTCTTGTGGGTTTTTTCGGGCTATATGGCCATATTCTAGAGGCATTCTCTCCTGACGTTTCGCCTGCATCTATGGCAAGCATCCTCAGAGGTAGTGAGGTCTGTTGGAATTAGGACAATGGGTTTATATATCTGTGGAATGACTGGGGTGGGGCAAAGAGCTCTTCTCTGCTGCAGTTAGGTGTGGATGTTTCAGCTGATCACCTTCATTAGCATTTGAAGGCCTGGCTGAGCCTGGGAAAATGTTCTATTGAGAGGTGTTAAGATGTGCCTGGTTGTTTCCTCTCTGCTGTTTTGCTGTTGTAGTTTTAGAGTTTTTTTAATACTGGTAGCCAGATTTTGTTCATTTTCATGGTTTCCTCCTTTCTGTTGAAATTGTCCACATGCTTGTGGATTTCAATGGCTTCTCTGTGTAGTCTGACATGGTGGTTGTGAGAGTGGTCCAGCATTTCTGTGTTCTAAATAAAATGCTGTGTCCAGGTTGGTTCATCAGGTGCTCTGCTATGGCTGACTTCTCTCTGGTTGAAGTAGTCTGCAGTGCCTTTCATGTTCCTTGATGCGTGTCTGGGCAATGCGGCTGCGTTTGGTGGTCCCTATGTAGACTTGTCCACAGCTGCATGGTACACGGTAGACTCCTGCAGAGGTGAGAGGATCCCTCTTGTCCTTTGCTGAACGTAGCATTTGTTGGATTTTCTTGGTGGGTCTGTAGATTGTTTGTATGTTGTGTTTCCTCATCAGCTTCCCTATGCGGTCAGTGGTTCCCTTGATGTCTGGCAAGAACACTTTCCCTCTGGGTGGATCTTCATCTTTACTCTCGTGGCTTGTTCTTGGTCTTGCAGCTCTTCTGATGTCTGAGGTTGAGTATCCTTTTTCACTGGTCGCCAGTCTGTTTCCAGGCCCAGTTCAGAGGGCAGTTCCAGCCCTTCTGTGCCTGAAGCCCCAGCCCCGGGCGAGGCTTCTCCTCCCTCTGGCATGTGCGGCAACCATGATACTAACAGGAGCGGGTCGCAGGGAGCATACAACCCCCCTGCTGTACCAGCTCCACTGGCTGCCAATCTGCTACCGGGCTCAATTCAAGGTGCTGGCATTGGCCTATAAAGCCCTAAACGGTTCCGGCCCAAGATACCTAACTGACCGCCTCTCGGCCTATGAGCCCACGAGGACTTTGAGATCTTCCGGGGAGGCCCTGCTCTCGATCCCGCCTGCGTCACAGGCACGGCTGGCGGGGACGAGAGATAGGGCCTTCTCGGTGGTGGCTCCTCGGCTGTGGAACACCCTTCCCGTAGACATCAGGCTAGCCCCCTCCCTGTTGATATTCCGCAGGAAGCTAAAGACCTGGTTGTTTAAGAAGGCATTTGAATAGAAGTGCAATGACTGGTAACTCGACCATAGGAATGGAACAACGGAAATGGTATCGGATTGTGAACTTGACGATGAGACGACTCGGAATGGCTTGTAGTAATGTTGATGTTTTTGATGAGATGTTTTGATAATGATGTACTGTGGATTATTTTATTTTATGTTTGTATTTTGCACCTGTTTTTCTATGTTGTACACCGCAATGAGTCGCCATTAGGCTGAGAATTGCGGTATATAAGCGAAGTAAATAAATAAATAAATAAATAAACCTGCCCAGGCCCAGACCCTCAGGGGAGGAGGCCCTTCTCTCTCCCTCTCCCATGGCAGGCACTGCTGGAGGGAGAAGGAGGAAGGGAGAGAGAGGCCTTCCTTCTCAATGGCTCCCTCTCATCTGGAACTCCTGCCCAAGGAGTGGGCCCTCAAGCAGGCCAAGACCCTCCCATGCAGGCCGGCTTCTGAAGGATGCTTTGAGGGTGCTGTGTTGGATGGAGATTGCAGGCTTCTACACTTGGTAGCCCAGGCATGGGCACACTTCGGCCTTCTCTCCAGGTGTTTTTACTTCCACAATATCTCCCTAGAGCCAGTAGGATGTTAAGAATTGTGGGAGTTGAAGTCCAAAACACCTGGAGGGAAGGCCGAAGTGTGTCTGTGCCTGGGCTAGCCACTGTCTAATTTATAATACGAGGGTTGAATTAAAAGTAATGCCTCCACCTTCGTTACTTGGGTATGGATGGGAATATTCTAATAATTCAAACACAGAAATAATCTTTAGAATGTGCTCCTTAACCACCACTATTCACTTTTCCACATTATCACCAGACAATTGGATACCTTTCTGCCAACGATGAAGCCGTCACGGAAGAAGTCGACACTTCTTTTCACAACCAGCGTCTCACAGTTCTCTCAACGTCTTCATCAGAAGCATAATGATGTCCCCGCAGATCTTCTTTCATTATCAGGAACAGATGGAAGTCAGACAGTGCTAAATCTGGACTGAATGGAGGATGCCGTACAGTGGTGAGATCCAGTCCCTGAAGTTCTGCTGTGGTGTGCTTTCATTTCAGGTGTTAGCATCCTGGGTACCCATCATGCACAGATCTTCCTATAGCCAAGCAAAGCAATAATGTGACCCACTCATTCTATGAAATGCCGATTATGCTTGAAATTTCTCTCCAAGTGATATGACGATCGTCCTGAATCAATCTGTTAACCTTTTGCTTGTGAAACTCAGTGGTTGCTGTCACAGGACATCCATCTCTTTGTTTGTCACACAAGTCAGATGTTCCCACCACAACTTTAAATTTACTTGCCCAATGACACATAGTACTCACAACAACACAATCACCATAAACAGCTTGAATTCTCTGATGAATCCCCTTTGGGGTGACACCTGCTGCTGCCAAGAATTCAAAGACTGCACGTTGCTTAAGTTGCATTGACCGACCGTGTGCACAAGGTTTCATACTTCGCACTTTAACAACACAATGATTCAAGTGGACAACAAGTTAAACATGAGCCAGCAATGTGATGCAGCGGCAAAAAAGGCCAACGGGATTTTGGCCTGCATCAATAGGAGTCGTGTTTAGATCCAGGGAAGGCATGCTACCCATGCTACATTTCGCCTTGGTCAGACCACACCTGGAATACTGTGTCCAAGTCTGGGCACCACAATTGAAGGGAGATGTTGACAAGCTGGAATGTGTCCAGAGGAGGGTGACTAAAATGATCAAGGGTCTGGAGAACAAGCCCCATGAGGAGGGGCTTAAAGAGCTGGACATGTTTAGCCTGAAGAAGAGAAGGCTGAGAGGAGACATGATAGCCATGTATAAATACCTCATAGGGAGGAAGCATGTTTTCTGCTGCCCTGGAGACTAGGACGCAATGGAACAATGGCTTCAAACTAAAAGAAAGGAGATTCCCTCTGAACATTAGGAAGGACTTCCTGACTGTGAGAGCTGTTCAGCAGTGGAACTCCTTGGTAGAGCCTCCTTCTTTGGAAGCTTTTAAACAGAGGCTGGATGGCCATCTGTCGGGGGTGCTTTGATTGCAATTTTCCTGCTTCTTGGCAGGGGGTTAGACTGGATGGCCCATGAGGTCTCATCCAACTCTAGGATTCTATGATTCTGTGTCCAAAAAGGAAAGAGAAGAAGAAAAACATTTATTGACAACGGCTTTCCTGGCCAGAATCACTGGGTTGTTGTAGGTTTTTCGGGCTGTATGGCTATGTTCTAGAAGCATTCTCTCCTGATGTTTCGCCTGTATCTATGGCAGGCATCATCAGAGGTTGTGAGGTCTGTTGGAAACCAGGAAAATTGTGTTTATATATCTGTGGAAAGTCCAGAGTGGGAGAAAGAACTCTGGTGTGTTCTCTCCAGTAGGCAAGAGTTCTTTCTCCCGCCTTGGACTTTCCTTCTTCAATAGCTTTTAAAATTAATACTGACCAACATTCAATAACCACGTTGTTTGAAGAGCAAGAAAACTGAGTCATGCTGAGAATGAAGAAAATAATAGAAAACAGAGAATTACAAATAATTCTCAAAAGCTTAGTTGAACTGATCCTGTATTTTAGGATTGTTGTTGTTCATTCGTTCAGCCGTCTCTGACTCTTCGTGACCTCATGGACCAGCACACGCCAAAGCTCCCTGTCGGCCGTCACCACCCCCAGCTCCTTCAAGGTCAGTCCAGTCCCTTCAAGGATGCCGTCCATCCATCTTGCCCTTGGTCGGCCCCTCTTCCTTTTGCCTTCCACTTTCCCCAGCATAATTGTTTTCTCTAAGCTTTGCTGTCTCCTCATGATGTGGCCAAAGTACTTCAACTTTGTCTCTAGTATTTTAGGATAGCCTTTCCCAATATGACAGTTGCTAGACATGTTAAATTACCAATCTCTCTTGGAAAATCTTATTTGATTGTTTTCTAGTCTGGAGTAAAGATTGAGGTTGAGGAAGATTGCATTAAAGCACTGTTTCTCCACCTTCCTAATGCCGCGACCCCTTATTACAGTTCCTCATGTTGTGGTGACCCCCAACCATAACATTATTTTAGTTGCTACTTCATAACTGTCATTTTGCTACTGTTATGAATCGTAATGTAAATATCTGATATGCAGGATGTATTCTCATTCATTGGACCAAATTTGGCACAAATATCTGATACGCCCAAATTTGAATACTGATGGGGTTGGGGACTGTTTCTGAATTTTGGGAGTTGTAGTTCACCAACACTCAGAGAGCACTCTGTTCCAAACTTGTGATGGAATAGTAAACTTGCCGCATATATACAACATGCCAAACTTAAGTACTGGTGGTGTTTGGTTTCAAGGGGACTGATCTCAGTAGTTGAGAGTTATAGTTCACTCACATCAACAGAAAAATATGCACACGACTCTTGGGATCAGACTGGGCATACGGACCTAATGTGGCCAACTGTAAATACAGGTGGGGTTTAGGAGTGACTGACAACTGATGGATCTGGACCAAGCTTGGCACAAATACCCATTAAGACAAATTTTTAATACTGGTGGGGTTTGGGGGGGGGCAACTGACCCAACGTTAGTTGCAGTTCTCCCTGTATCTAGAGAACCCTTTGACCCCCACCTATGATGAATCTGAACCAAACTGGGCATACAGATCTAATGTGGCCAACTGTAAATACAGGTGGGGGCTGGGGGTGACTGACCTTGGCATATGGGAGTTGCAGTTCACCCAGTCCAGGAAATAAAGCCCAAGTGCTCATTGGAGGGAAGGATATTACAGACAAAGATGAAGTACTTTGGCCACATTGTGAGAAGACAAGAAAGCTTGGAGAAGATAATGATTCTGGGGAAAATGGAAGGAAAAAGGAAGAGGGGCCGACCAAGGGCAAGATGAATCGATGGCATCCTTGAAGTGACTGGCTTCACCTTGAAGGAGCTGGGGGTGGTGACGACCAACAGGGAGATCTGGCATGGGCTGGTCCATGAAGTCACGAAGAGTCGGAAGCGACTGATCGAATAAACAACAAATGTATTGTTTTAGACTGAATTCACACACACACACACACATCTGTAATAGATTTTCTATTTATATGTTATAGATAGGACAAGAAATATTCACAGTAACCAGTATGCATGAATGGATAGAAAATAATTTATCTTTTATGCTTTATTAGATATTTCATACAAGAAAACCCCCTACCACATACATACAATTGCACATTACTCATTGATCAAATCCATTTCCACACTCCTCATCAAACTTCTCAAATAAATGTATTTTTAACCCTGAATATACATAACAGGAAATATATGCAATAACCAGCATGCATGAATCGATTTTTAAAAACCTGAAATATCCTCCCTTTAGCTCTCAAAATTTTATCACTTTTGCTTAATGAGAAATTTCATCAAAGAAAATGGATCAGTGTATTATTTTCCCCAAAGCCATGTTTTTTTAACTCGGTGTTTCTATGACAAAGAATCATGCCCCCTTTGATGGAAAACAAGGGAACGTGCCTTTACCCCATTTCTTCCGTGTGGGTTGGCAATTAAAAAAGAAGGCTTGTATTTCAACTGCAGCTCTTTCCACACTCTGGTTTTTCTCTGCTGTGAGTTGCCTGATGACAAACAAGGTATGATTTCCGACTGAAGCTCTTTCCACACTGCAAGCATTTAAATGGCCTTTCTCCTGTGTGAATTGCCTGATGACGAACAAGGACGCCCTTCCGACTGAAGCTCTTTCCACACTCCAAGCATTCAAATGGCTTTTCTCCTGTGTGAGTTGCCTGATGGTAAACAAGGCCTCCCTTCTGACTGAAGCTCTTTCCACACTCTGCGCATTTATACGGCTTCTCTCTTGTGTGAATTGCTTGATGCTGAATAAGGATGTTCTTGTAACTAAAGCTCTTTCCACACACCAAACATTTAAATGGCTTCTCTCCTGTGTGAATTGCTTGATGATGAGTAAAGTGTTTCTTGTAACTGAAGCTTTTACCACACTCCAAGCATTTAAACGGCCTCTCTCCTGTGTGAGTTGCCTGATGATGAATAAGGGTCTGCTTGTGACTGAAGCTTTTTTCGCACTGCAAGCATTTAAATGGTTTCTCTCCTGTGTGAGTTGACTGATGACGAATAAGGTCATGCTTGTGACTAAAGCTCTTTTCACACTGCACACATTTAAATGGCTTCTCTCCTGTGTGAGTTGCCTGATGACTAAAAAGGATGTGCTTGTGACTGAAGCTTTTTTCACACTGAAAGCATTTAAAGGGCTTCTCTCCTGTGTGAATTGCCTGGTGTCGAACAAGGCCTCCCTTCTGAGAAAAACTTTTTCCACATTCCAAACATTTAAATGGCTTTTCTCCTGTGTGAATTGCCTGGTGATGAACAAGATGTGCCTTCCGAGAGAAACTTTTTCCACATTCCAAACATTTAAATGGCTTTTCTCTTGTGTGAATTATCTGGTGATAAATAAGGTTTGCCTTCCGAGAGAAACATTTTCCACATTCTAAACATTCAAATTGCTTTTCTCCTGTGTGGACTGCCTGGTGACGAACAAGGACTACCTTCTGAGAGAAACCTTTTCCACATTCCAAACAATTAAACAGCTTTTCTCTTTTATGAATTTCCTGGTGATGAACAAGGTTTGCCTTCTGAGAAAAACTTTTTCCACATTCCAGACATTTAAACAGCTTTACTCCTGTGTGAATTGCCTGGTGACGAACAAGGACTACCTTCTGAGAGAAACTTTTTCCACATTCCAAACATTTAAATGGCTTCTTTCTTGTGTGAACTGCCTTGTGACGAACAAGGTTTGCCTTCTGATGGAAGTTCTTTCCACACTCCAAGCATTTAAATGGTCTCTCTCCCGTGTGAGTTGACTGATGACGAACAAGGTCTGAATTATGATGGAAGTTCTTTCCACACTCCAAGCATTTAAATGGTTTATCCCTTGCGTGAGTTTCTTCAGAAAAGACGAATGATTCCTTCCAATTAAAATTCAGTTCATCTTCCAAATATATAAATTGTGTCTCCTCTGTTTACATCATTTGAGAACAAGGGAAGTGTGACCAAGAATTGAAAAGAAAAGCTTAGATTAGATTAAAGTTTAAAATTATACAAATTACAAAAAGCATTTAGTCAAGACAGGCCTTTCACATAGCCCTTTCCAACACTAGCAGTTAAGAGAAAACATATATTGTATTTGCTCTAAATATTATGCCATGATATAAGCCTCAAAGTACATCATAACTCAACCTGGGCTGGGGAAAATTGAACTGTTTTCTTTAGCCCTGGTTTCTCTGGAATCCTCTGTAATTCTGGCAGAAGAAAGATAAAAACCCTTGATCTGCCTGATGCCACAAAGGTAGGTTAACTTAACTTCATGGCATCACACAGCAGAACAAACAACCAAATTCAGATTAGAGATCAGAATAAAGTTGCAATTTTAAAAAGGATTAAATGAAGCTGCATGGACTTGGAGTTTGACATTCTCTCTGTTTTCTCTTTCCTAATTGTCACTCCCTGCAGGATCTAGTTAGCAACTCGGGCCACTCATAAAAGTCTTTTGATTTAGTTTTATTACTCAGATCTCTACAGCCCAGGGAAAAAATCACTAATGTCAGTTTTGGCTAAAACCCCTCCCCTTCCCTTTCAATCTCACCCCACGCCTCCGACATTATTATCAGTTTTTTCCCCACATGAAAAGTTATTCCATTCAGCTGCCCTCTAATTGTTCCACCGACACCTCCTGCTGAACCTGAGCTGTCACAGAGAGGATTTTTGGTGACTTCCTGAGCAGCAGAAATCAGCTCCTTATATTATTAAAGGTTTTTTCTCACATTTTAACCCCTGAGTCTATTTTTTTTAAAAGCACTTTTTATTTTACTTCAGAATTAGAGGTTATATTCTTAGCGTCACAAGCATGGACTGGTATTTATTGTATTACTTTTTGTGTATGAAGAAATCAATATATACATAAATCAAATGGCTCGATAGATATGAATCAGACTGTGTTCACAGCTTGGGACAAAGGCTCCTGGATCCGTCTCTCACAATGTCAGCCCTGGTAGATGTGACAGTCAGGAGTGCTTACTATAAGCTTTGGCCGATATGCCACCTGCACCCCTTCCTAGATTTGGATGGCCTTAAAATGGTAGTGCATGTGCTGGTAACCTCAAGGTTGGACTCCTGCAATGTGCTTTACATTGGGCTACATTTCTACCAAATTTGGAAATACGGCAGCCTGATTGGTTATGGGGACATCCAGTACTGAATATATCTCACATATCCTAAAGGCACTCCACTGCCTGTTGTATATGCCTTTTAAGAAGGTAGAACAGGAGTTGGGGATTTGGGGCCAAGTGCTGAGGAGGAAGAAGAGGGTGAGGAAAACATACTGCTGGTGCCTATGTTTCAGGAATGCTAAAGGGTGAAAAGAAGGAAGAAGAAGGTCAGCTAGAATGGCTGCAAGGACGCTGAGCAATCAGACTCCACTCTTTTAACACCTGTGCTGGGAGCTATAAATCAGCAGTAAAGCAAGTGGTCAATGTTGGCAGCAACCATCCTACTTCGTGCTCCTGTGCTCCAGTTTCCTTGCTTGCAGTTCCAGGATCTGCAAAGTTCCTCGCAAAGTCTTTTTGCCAAAAGACTTGTTTCATGTCTGATGTAAGACTTTGTGCTTTGTTTTTGGGATTTACCTTCTGTTCTCTTGCTGCTGTTTATTACATTGATATCATTTTGCTAAGTAAATCTTTCTTTAGTTGCATCAATGCTTGTTTTAAGGCTGTTTCTGGGGCAAAACAGGACACTGGCTGCCAATTCATTTCCAGGCAAAGTACTAAGTGTTGGGGTTTTGGCCTTTTAAGCCCTACATGGTTTGGGTCTTGGTTACCTACAGGATCCCCTTCTTCCGTACAACCAAACACCCAAGTCCTCAGGGTGGTGCGTGCTCCAGCCTGACAGAACTCAACTAGCAACCACCATCCAGAGGGTTTTTTCATCAGCCGCCCCAAGACTGTGGAACGACCTGCCAGTAGAGCTCCGACAGCTAGATCAGCTTGTGAATTTAAGACACAAGTGAAGACCTCTTTCTTCCGGCAGGCCTACTCTAACTTAGAGGTGTGTATTTTAATATGTATGTTATGGAATTATGTTTTAATGTGTGTATTTAAATGGTTATGTGTCTTTGTGTTTTAGCAATGCTATATATTATCGAGGCCTACTCAGGCAATTGTAATGATGAACTTTGAATTTCAACTCTATAACTTTTGTATTGTGGATTTAATATGTATTTTATGGGAATATGATTCAATATCTGTATTTTATGGAGTGTTTTTAAATTATTATGTTTTGATTATGTTTTAGCAATGTTGTAACCCACCTCAGGCTGTGAGAAGCAGGTAAGAAATATAATAATAATAATAATAATAATAATAATAATAATAATAATATTGGCAGCTCCACTGGCTTCCAATTTGTTTCCAGACACAATTACTGGTTATGACCTATAAAGATCTAAATGGCTCAGGTCCAGGCTATTTGATTGATTGTATATCTTTTCACAAACCTACCTGGGTACTAGAATCCTCAAGAGAAGCCCTTGTCTCACTCCCACCACAATTGCAAGCATGGTTGGTGGATGGAAAATAACCATTGCCTAGAATTCATCTCATGTGGCAACTCCACCCAAATGCCAATTGTCTTCTTGGGCTGGCCCCTATCTGGATATGGAATGAGCTTGTTTTCTATGGCTTCAGAGGAAGAGATCTGAAACACTGGAGCATTTTTAGAACTTGTAAACTGATTTAGTTAACTACAAATGATAATGGAGCTTTACCCAGAGATGACACAATCCCGAAGTTCTCCTCCATGACTTGGTGGTGCAAGGCTTTTTGGCTTGGATCCAAGAGGGCCCACTCCTCCTCTGAGAAATCCACAGACACATCTTCAAAAATCACCTGAAGGGAAAAAATGTTATCTGCAAGGAGAAAATACCATCCAAGTTGGAAAAAAGGCCTTTTGTGATTTAAGTCATTAAATAACTCATTTATTGAAAACATCTTGAATGGAAGGAATGTAGAAGAAATAGGTTCACTTACAGCCCGGGCAATATTCAAGAGAGAAGAAGACTTGACTATCCCCTCCCCTCCAGAGATCCTGCTGCCTACCTGATCTGGTTCCACAGAATCTCTTCTTAGGAAAGAATCAGGGAAAGGTGTGCTACTATCATTTGGCCATGATTCACAGCCTGTGAAAGAGAGGAAAGACACCAGAGAGAGTGAGAGCAATCCCTTTTCCAGGCTGCCCCACAGTTCCTTCCCTCGGAAACCTGCCACTCTCCCCTTGCCCCATGGCCCTCTTTGAAACTCCCTCCTTCGATTTCGGTTGCAACTTAATCCCAGAAAATTTGGAGAGTTCACTGTATTTGGGCCAACGTAGCAAAGAGTACATTCACCACCATAAACATCCAGAGAGACGGAATCAAGTAATGTTGAAAGTGGCAGAAATCAGTATTGTAGAGAAATGTCTCCTGTCAACAGCATTCTTCAACTCCCAGAATCTACACAGCACAGGTCTACTCAAGAGGAGGTGAGCAAGCAAGAAGGACTACTACCATCCCTTACCAACTAGGATATATTCTCCTTCTGCAATCTGGACAACGCATACGGTGTCTGAAGGAGACTCTTCCACCCGAATGGTCCCATTTCCAAAAGAGTCCTGCACCTAACAAGCAGCACAGATCACAAAGAAAAAGACAGATTAGAAAAGGAGGGAGGGCTCTCTTTCTGCAACCTGATCCAGACCACTTGGATTGTGGTTGGGACCCAAGATTGGTATCCTTCTTTAAGTATAATGACGTGCCTTTCCTTGATTTTGGTGTGGGAATTCTGCCTTCCTTTGGGCCTTGCACTCTGCTTCAGGACTCGAAGTGGAAGGGCTACTGCTGAGATGAAGGAAGTACTTTACGTAATCGTGGGCTTGTAATTTAGGGCTATTCTAGAGGGGCTCTTAAGCCTAAGTCTGTATATCTGTGCTTTCAGGTCCCGGTTGAGTTATCTCTACCTGTGAATAACATAAAGTTTCTTAAAGGTAAAGGTTGTCCTCTGACATTAAGTCCACTCATGTCTGACTCTGGGATGTGGTGCTCATCTCCATTTCTAAGCCGAAGAGCCAGCGTTGTCCATAGACACCTCCAAGGTCATGTGGCTAGCATTACTGCATGGAGCGCCATTACCTTCCTGCCGGAGCGGTACCTATTGATCTACTCACATTTGCATGTTTTCGAACTGCTAGGTCGGCAAAAGCTAGGGCTGACAGGAGAAGCTCACACCGCTCCCTGGAATTGAACCTGCAACCTTTCAGTCAACAAGCTCAGCAACTCAGTGCTTTAACCCACTGCGCCATCGGGAGCTCCAGAAAGAATATTCATAAGTGGTTCAGCCAGTTGCTTCCTCTGAAATACACACCACTGGAATTCTCAATACGTTCCTTTTAATCTTCAGAGTTTACCATCCTATAACTTCAGATCATTATACCTGGTTATACCACCCTGAGGAATGGAGGTGACTGCCCCCTCCTCTCCATGAGAGCCCTTGGGGGATGCAAAGGGGGCAATTGTGGCACCTCGTGTCTCTTTTCCAGGGTTAACAAACCTGGGTCCTCCTTCCCTAATGCTTCTCTGAACTTGTTCCAACTTGCTTCTATTATTAAAATTAGGTACTTGAAAGCAAATGCTATAATCCTGGCCTGAGCAGTACAGAAGGCTAAAATTGCAATCACCTATTTTGCTAGCTGAGCCACCCATATTTGGAAAATGTCCATAACATACGGAAAAGGAGTTTTATACCATCCTTCAAAACAATTATTCTTGGCTGTTTGAAACTACAAGATGAATCTCTCACCTGGGGCTTCTCCCACTTCCTCTCCTCTTCCTGACTCAGGAGGAATCCTTCAGCCAAGGCCACGGCCTGGGAGCTGGTCTCTGCCCCACATTCCCTCACCCAGCGCTCCATCTCCGCAGGAAGGACGGCCAGGAACTGCTCCAGGATCACCAGGTCCAGCATCTCCGCCTTAGAGTGTCGCTCAGGCTTCAGCCACAGGCGGCAGAGAGAGTGGAGGCGGCTGCAAACCTCTCGAGGCCCTGAAGTCTTCTCATAGCAGAAATGCCGGAAATGCTGGCGCTGAAGGTCTGAGTGGAGAAGACTGCTCTCCCGGTCTTTCCTCCAAGGGTCCTCCCAAAGTGCTCTATTCTTCTCTGCCTCAACAGCTGAAGAAAATCCTTCTAACTGGGTGGCAGCTGGCTCTTGTCCTTCCATCTAGGCTGCCCCCAAACTGAATGAAGATGAGTCCACCTCTTCTCTCAAATGACATTCAAAGTGGGAGGACTAGGAGAATTTATGGGGTCTGAAAACAAAGAAAATACTTCTATCTGGGTGGCAGCTGGCTCTGGTTCTGCACTTCTAGTCTCAGCTGCCTCCAAACTGGATCAAGATATTTCCACCTCTCAGATGACATTCAAAGTGGGAGGGATGGGAAAACCGGTGGGGCCTGCAAACAAAACAAGACCTTTTTCTTTATTTATTTACGACATTTATATGCTGCCCTTCTCACCCGGAAGGGGATTCCGAGCAGCTTCCTCATATACATACACACACACACACACACACAATATATTATATTTATAGCATAGTACACTATCAGTATTAAATATTACTATATTGTATTATATCATTATATTGAAATATTATTAGTAAGATCACATGTAATATAAATATATAATTATGATATATTATTAGTAGTAGTATTATATTGCATTACATTACAATATTATAAATATTTTATGTATATACAATATATATTATATGATATTATTAACATAGCACAGGAGACAACATGGAACTGTCCCCTGGCCTCCTCTCTCTTCACTCTGGCCCAGAGCGGCAGTTGGTGCTGGGGGGAGGGTCCCTATAGGATGACATATGCAGGATTTATTTGTCATGTCAGGGCAACCAGTCAATTGTATTACATTTCTAACAGAACAAAACAAACAAACAGACAAAATACAAAATTTGCGAGTTTGGTAGTTGATTAAATGTCCTTTGACCAGTATCTGGCCACTTGGAGTGCCTCTGGTGTTGCCACAAGAAGGTCCTCCCTTGTGCATGTGGCAGGGCTCAGGGTGCATTGCAGCAGGTGGTCAGTGGTTTGCTCTTCTCCACACTCACATGACATATGCAGGAGAGAAGATAGAACTGTCCCCTGGCCCCCTCTCTCTTCACTCTGACCTGGAGTGGCAGCTGGCACTGGGGGAAGGGTCCACAAGTGATGACGTATGCAGGAGAGCAAGATGGAACTGTCCCCTGGCCCCCCTCTCTCTTCACTCTGGTCAAGGTGTAAAAGGGACGGATTGGACAACCTTCGATGAATATAGAATCATAGAATCAAAGAGTTGGAAGAGACCTCATGGGCCATCCAGTCCAACCCCCTGCCAAGAAGCAGGAATATTGCACTCAAATCACCCCTGACAGATGGCCATCCAGCCTCTGTTTAAAAGCTTCCAAAGAAGGAGCCTCCACCACACTCCGGGGCAGAGAGTTCCACTGCTGAACGGCTCTCACAGTCAGGAAGTTCTTCCTCATGTTCAGATGGAATCTCCTCTCTTGTAGTTTGAAGCCATTGTCCTAGTCTCCAGGGAAGCAGAAAACAAGCTTGCTCCCTCCTCCCTGTGGCTTCCTCTCACATATTTATACATGGCTATCATATCTCCTCTCAGCCTTCTCTTCTTCAGGCTAAACATGCCCAGCTCCTTAAGGCGCTCCTCATAGGGCTTGTTCTCCAGACCCTTGATCATTTTAGTCGCCCTCCTCTGGACACATTCCAGCTTGTCAATATCTCTCTTGAATTGTGGTGCCCAGAATTGGACCCAATATTCCAGGTGTGGTCTAACCAAAGCAGAATAGAGGGGTAGCATGACTTCCCTAGATCTAGACACTATGCTCCTATTGATGCAGGCCAAAATCCCATTGGCTTTTTTTGCCGCCACATCACATTGTTGGCTCATGTTTAACTTGTTGTCCACGAGCACTCCAAGATCTTTTTCACACGTACTGCTCTCGAGCCAGGCCTCCCCCATTCTGTATCTTTGCATTTCGTTTTTTCTGCCAAAGTGGAGTATCTTGCATTTGTCACTGTTGAACTTCATTTTGTTAGTTTTGGCCAATCATCTCTCTAATCTGTCAAGATCGTTTTGAATGATCGTTTGATGATGTATGCAGCAGACAAAATGGAACTGTCCCCTGGCCCCCTCTCTCTTCAATGAGCTCACATTAATACTGTTGAGGAGGGATTATGTTTGCCATGGATGTTGAATTAATGACTGGCTTCTAGATCTGGAGACAAAAGGTTCAGGGAGAGGGATCCTCTCCTTCTTAAAGACCAAACTATCACCTGGGTTTTCCTACATTGTATGTTATTGTCGAAGGCTTTCATGGCTGGAATCACTAGGTACTTGTGGGTTTTTTCGGTCTATATGGCCATGTTCTAGAGGCATTTCTCCTGACGTTTCGCCTGCATCTATGGCAAGCATCCTCAGAGGTAGTGAGGTCTGTTGGAGTTAGGAAAACGGGTTTATATGTGTGTGGAATGGCTGGGGTGGGGCAAAGAGCTCTTCTCTGCTGGAGCTAAGTGTGAATGTTTCAACTGACCACCTTCATTAGCATTTGAAGGCCTGGCTGAGCCTGGGGGAATCTTTTCCTCCATTGCTTGGCCCTTCCTTTGCTCTCTCTCTTTGTGAATCCCTCCCCATCTTTTCCCTCTGTCCCTGCAGCCTCTCCCACCCACTTCCCTTCCTCCCTCCCTCTCTCCCACTCACCCTCCAGGACAGAAGAGGGAAGAGACTCACCAGCAGCTCCTTCCCTCGGAGGACTGACTCCCTCCCGGAAGCGGAACTTCCCCGCTCCCCTCGCAGGAACCTCTGGAGGCGAAGAAAACCCTTTCCGGTGCCTCTCTAGGAAGGGACGCGCTCGCCAGTGGCCGGAAGGGGCAGGCTTCCCTATTTTGGGCGGCCCTTCCTTCCTGCTTCCCCTCTAGGAACTCCTCCTTCACTGCCGCCAGTCTGTTTCCAGGCTCAGTTCAGAGAGGAGTTCAAGCCCTTCTGTGTCTGAGTCCCCAGCCATTGCTAGGTTTGCAGAAGCAGAGGAGAAGCTCGGCCTGTCACTGAACATGGAGAAAACCAAAGTGCTCTTCCAGCAGGCACCAGCCAACCCTTTTCCAATGCCACAGATACAGCTTAGTGGTGTAACATTGATGGCAACAGTTTTGGACAGCAATGGCTCCCAAAGTGACCCATTTAAGGTGGAATCCGGTGTCAAACAGGGATGTGTTATTGCCCCAACTTTATTCTCCATCTTCATCGCTATGATACTTCACCTTGTTGATGGGAAGCTTCCCACCGGAGTGGAAATCATCTATCGGATAGATGGCAAGCTATTCAACCTCAGCAGACTGAAAGCCAAAACCAAGGTCACAACAACATCTGTTATAAAACTCCAGCATGTCAACGACTTAAATCAAGAAATAGTTTTCTTAGATCTACAGAGACACTCGCTGGAACACCTCAGCAAGCGAGAGTTCAAAAGTGGCAGGCTCAAACCCAGCACCTCAATCCGTGGGTGATACCAGATGAGAGACTCCCTCCTGGGCACACAGAAGACTGGGCGACTTGGAAGGCGCTGAACAGACTGCGCTCTGGCACCACAAGATGCAGAGCCAATCTTAAGAAATGGGGCTACAAAGTGGAATCCATGACATGCGAGTGTGGAGAAGAGCAAACCACTGACCACCTGCTGCAATGCAACCTGAGCCCTGCCACATGCACAAGGGAGGACCTTCTTGCAGCAACACCAGAAGCACTCCAAGTAGCCAGATACTGGTCAAAGGACATTTAATCAGCTACCAAGTTTGCAAAATCTGTGGGTTTTTTTATCTGTTTGTTTGTTTTGTTCTGTTAGAAATGTAATACAATGTTCTGGTTGCGGATGACACGATAAATAAATAAGTATGCTGATGACAACGTCGTCTGTGCGCATTCAGAAGAAGACCTACAAGCCACTCTAAACACCTTTGAAGAAGCATACGAGAAGCTCGGCCTGTCATTGAACATTGGAAAAACCAAGGTGTTGTTCCAGCAGACACCAGCCAACCCCTTGTTGATGGGAAGCTTCCCACCGGAATGGAAATCATCTATCAGACAGATGGCAAGCTATTCAACCTCAGCAGACTGTAAGCCAAAACCAAGGTTACAACAACATGTTACAGAACTCCAGTATGCTGATGACGTCGTCTGCGTGCATTCAGAAGACCTACAAGCCACTCTAAACACCTTTGCAGAAGCATACGAGAAGCTCGGCCTGTCATTGAACATCGAGAAAACCAAAGTGCTCTTCCAGGAGGCACCAGCCAACCCCTTCCCAATGCCACAGATACAGCTTAGTGGTGTAACATTGATGGCAACAGTTTTGGACAGCAATGGCTCCCAAAGTGACCCATTTAAGGTGGAATCCGGTGTCAAACAGGGATGTGTTATTGCCCCAACTTTATTCTCCATCTTCATTGCTATGATACTTCACCTTGTCGATGGGAAACTTCCCACCAGAGTGGAAATCATCTATCGGACAGATGGCAAGCTATTCAACCTCAGCGGACCGAAAGCCAAAACCAAGGTTACAACAACATCTGTTATAGAACTCCAGTATGCTGATGACAGTGTCTGTGCGCATTCAGAAGAAGATCTACAAGCCACTCTAAACACCTTCGCAGAAGCATACACGAAGCTTCGCAGAAGCGCTCCTCTGACAGGCCTGCACTTTGGGGGAATCATTGCTCTTTTGCTCTTGTTGCTCGCGTTGAGTCGCCTACGGGCTGAGAAACTGCGGTATACAAGCAAAGTAAATAAATAAATAAATAAATTGGATCGAGCGTTCAAACTAGAGGCCCACCTTTCTTGAATGTGTTTACCCCATATGTAATTGGCATATATACGGGAGTGATCATTCAGAGTTTAGGAGTGCGGTGCCATCGATATGCTGATGACACCCAGATCTCTGGACCATCTTCCAAAAAATCGGATGCTCTGACAATTCATGAACATCCTGCGGCTCCTCCACGATGACATGATGGCAACAGTCTTGGACAGTAATGACTCCCAAAGTGACCCATTTAAAGTGGAATTAGGTGTCAAACAGGAATGTGTTATTGCCCCAACTTTATTTTTCATCTTCATCGCTATGATACTTCATCTTGTTGATGGGAAGCTTCCCACCGGAGTGGAAATCATCTATTGGACAGATGGCAAGCTGTTCAACCTCAGCAGACGGAAAGCCAAAACTAAGGTCACAACATCTGTTATAGAACTCCAATATGCTGATGACAACGTTGTCTGTGCGTATTCAGAAGACCTACAATCTACTCTAAACATCTTTGCAGAAGCATGAGAAGCTCAGCCTTTTATTGAACATCAAGAAAACCAAAGTGCTCTTCCAGCAGTCACCAGCCAATCCTGCTGCAATGCCAAAAATACAGCTTAATGGTGTAACATTAGAAAATGTTGACCAATTTCGCTACTTTGGCAGCCACCGCTCCACAAAAGTCAACATTGACACTGAAATACAACACCGCCTGAGCTCTGCAAGTGCAGCATTTTTCCGAATGAAGCAGAGAGTGTTTGAGGACCGGGACATCAGTAGGGATACCAAGGTGCTTGTTTATAAAGCTATTGTCCTCCCAACCCTGCTATATGCTTGAGAGACATCTACGGACGTCACATGCAACTCCCGGAATGATTCCATCAGTGTTGCCTCTGAAAAATCCTGCAAATCTCTTGGGAAGACTGATGGACAAATGTCAGTGTGCTGGGAGAAGCAAAAACCACCAGCATTGAAGTGATGCTCCTCCATCATCAACTCAGCTGGACTGGTCACGTTGAACAACATGAGGGAGGAGTGGAGGCAGGAAATGAGGTTGCATCACACTATGAAGTTGAACTGCCCTGGCTCAGTGCGATGGCATCCTGGGAGTGGTATTTTACATGGTCTTTGCTTTGCAGACCATATTTTAGCTCTCGTAGATCACAGGCTGGGAACCACTGCATTAAAGCAAAAGAGCAATATTAAGTGGGAATAACCTTATTCCCCCATCTGGATGGATTAAAATTACCAAATTAATTTTCAACCACAACATTCCAAGCTCACAACCAACTAGATCAGTGTTTCTCAACCTGAGGGTCGGAACCCCTAGAGGGGTCGTGAGGGTGTTTCAGAGGGGTCACCAAAGACCATCAGAAAACACATATTTCTGATGGTCTTAGGAACCCTTTTGGCAGAGAAGGCTGAAGATCTCTCCGCCTGTCCTCATCCTTGTTGGTGTTGGTGAATGACAATTCCCAGACCTCAAAAACAGCCCCCCCAACCCCACCAGTAGTTAATGTTGGCCATGACGGTAGTGTGCCAAGTTTGGTGCAGATCCACTTAGGGCTGGGTTCAGAGTGCTATTTGATTATAGGTTAACTATAAATCCCAGGAATTACAACTCCCAAATGTCAAGGTCTATTTTCCCCAAACTCCACCACTGTTCACATTTGGGCATATGAGTATCTGTGCCAGGTTTGGTCCAGATCCATCACTGTTTGAGTCCACAGTGCTCTCTGGATGTAGGTGAACTACAACTCCCAAACTCAAGGTCAATGCCCAACAAACGCTTCCAGTACTTTCTCTTGGTCTTGGGAGTTCTGTATTCCAAATTTGGCTTGCTTCTTCTGTTGCTTGAGTTCAGAATGCTCTTGGATTATATGTTAACTATAAATCCCAGCAACTACAACTCCCAAATGACAAAATGAATCCCCCCCCCCCCCCCCCCCCCCCCCCCCCAACCCCACCAGTTTTCAAATTTGGGCATATTGGCTATTTGTGTCAAATTTGATCCAGTGAATGAGAATACATCCTGCATATCAGATATTTACATTATGATTCATAACAGTAGCCAAATTACAGTTACAAAGTACCAATAGAAATAATGAATGGTTGGGGGTCACCAACACATGAGGAACTGGATTAAGGGGTCACAGCATTAGGAAGGTTGAGAACCACTGAACTAGATGGTCTGCAAATCATCATTCAGATTCTGTTAGCAATTTAACATGGGGATTAATGGAGGCAGCGCTAGTAATTGCTAATCATTTCCTTCTTTCCGTTAGAACAGTGGTTCCCAACCTGTGGTATGTGGACCACCAGAGGTCCGCAAGAACTAAAACATGGTCTGCAGCCTCACTGTTACTACACCGTTGTAACGAGAGTGACTGGTCTTGCGAAACTCTCTCATAGTGCCAAGACTTCTCAAATATGGTTTTCTATGGGCGAGCAGAGGGCATATGTTCTGTATCAGAAACTAGAGCTGATGTGGTCTATCCAATGCAGTTTTCTGAATCGACATCCCAAATAACCAAACTGAATCTCGAGTTGACCAAAAACTGATTTGTAACCCTTTTGGTACTAATGTTATAATAATGGAAACGGCTATATGATTGTAGAACTAATGTTATTGTTTTTAATCTATTGTGTATTTATGGTTTTATATTGTTGTTATATTGTGATATGTATGGCATCTAATTATTGCCAGTGTTAGCTGCTCTGAGTCCCCCTCGGGGGTTGAGAAGGGCGGGGTAGAAATGTTGTAAATAAATAAACAAATAAATAATGTTAGAGTGTGGTCCCTGGTCAAGTGTTCCCTGGTCAAAGTGGTCTCTGGTCAAGTGGTCCGTGCTCAAAAGAAGGTTGGGAACCACTGCTTTGGAATTTAGCAAATAATCTCAGTACAAAATTATTCCATTAATATCATAACATACAGAATAAACTCARAATTCTAAATACGCCTTTTCTTCAAGATAAGCTAGMTTGTATTGTCGAAGGCTTTAATGGCCGGAATCACTGGGTTGTTGTAGGTTTTTTCAGGCTATATGGCMATGATCTAGAGGCATTCTCTCCTGACATTTCGCCTGCATCTATGGCAGGCATCCTCAGAGGTACTACCTCTCAGGATGCTTGCCATAGATGCAGGCGAAACATCAGGAGAGAATGCCTCTAGACCAGGGGTCCTCAAACTAAGGCCCGGGGGCCAGATACGGCCCTCCAAGGTCATTTACCCGGCCCTCGCTCAGGGTTAACCTAAGTCTGAAACAACAACAACAACCCTATCTCATCAGCCAAAAGCAGGCCCACACTTCTCATTGAAATACTAATAAGTTTATATTTATTAAAATTGTTCTTCATTTTAATTATTGTATTTTTTTAAAGTGTTTTTTTGCACTACAAATAAGATATGTGCAATGTGCATAGKAATTCATTCATGGTTTTTTTTTTTTCAAATTATAATCCGGCCCTCCAACATTTTGAGGGACTGTGACCTGGCCCTCTGTTTAAAAAGTTTGAGCACCCCTGCTCTAGACCATGGCCATATAGCCCGAAAAAACCTACAACAACCCATAAACTAGATTAATTCTCACGAACATATTTTAAGAAACACCATGTGTTTTTAGAGATTGAAGACACACACATCTGTAATATATTTTCTATTATTTATGTATTATAGATAGGATAATAAATATTCACAATAACCACCATGCATGAATGGACAGTAAACAATTTACCAATTATGCTCTATTAGAAATTTCATGAAAGAAAACCCAGTTCCACATTCAAAAGTCATTAATCGAACCCATTATTCCCACACTTCTCATCAAACTTCTCAATTAAATGTATTTTTAACCCTGAATATACATGATAGGAAATATTTGCAGTAACCAGTACGCATGAATGAATAAAAAACATGATCAGTTAAGCTTAATCAGATATTTCATAAATAAAAATTGATCAGATTATTATTTCCCACAAAAGTCACAGCTTTTAAACTCGGAGTTTCTATGACAAAGATCTATGTCCCTCTGATGTAAAACAAGGGATGTTGCCTCTACCCCATTTCTTCTGTGTGGCTTGACAATTCAAAAAGAAGCCTTGTATTTCAACTGCAGCTCTTTCCACACTCTGTTTTTTCTCCGCAGTGAGTTGCCTGGTGGCGAACAAGGTGTGACTTGTATCTGAAGCTCTTTCCACACACTGAGCATTTAAATGGCCTTTCTCCTGTGTGAGTTGCCTGATGACGAATAAGGTCGTGCTTGTAACTGAAGCTTTTTTCACACTGCAAGCATTTAAATGGCTTCTGTCCTGTGTGAGTTACCTGATGACGAATAAGGCTGTAATTCTGACCAAAGCTCTTTTCACACTGCAAGCATTTAAATGGCTTCTCTCCTGTGTGAATTGCCTGGTGACGAACAAGGCTTACCTTCTGAGAGAAACTTTTTCCACATTCCAAACATTTAAATGGCTTTTCTCCTGTGTGAGTTGCCTGATGACTATTAAGGTGGCTCTTCTGATTGAAGCTCTTGTTACATTCCAAGCATTTAAATGGCTTCTCACCTGTGTGAGTTGTCTGATGGATAACAAGGTGTGCCTTCTGACGAAAGTTTTTTCCACACTCCAAGCATTTAAATGGTTTATCCCTTGTGTGAGTTTCTTGAGAAAAGGTGAGTGTTTCCTTCGAACTGAAATTCTTTTCATCTTCCAAATACTCAAATTGTGTCTCCTCTATTACATGGTTTGAGAACAAGGGAAGCGTGGCCATGTGTTGAAAAGAAAAGCTTAGATTAAAGTTAAAAAGTATAGAAATTACAAAATGCATGTAGTCAAGACAGCCCTTTCCCACAGCCCTTCCCAACACTGGCAGCTAAGGGAAAAACATCTTTTGTCTTTGCTCTTAATATTATACCAGGATATAGGTCTCAAAGTAAATCGTATCTCAACCAGGGCTGGGGAAAATAGAGTTATTTTCTTTAGTCCTGGTTTCTCTGGAATCCCCTGTACTTCTGGCACAAGAAAGGTAAAAACCCTTGATCTGCCTGATGCCACAAAGGTAGGTGGACTTCAACAGATGGCCATGCAGCCTCTGTTTACAAGCTTCCAAAGAAGGAACCTCCACCACACTCCAGGGCAGAGAGTTCCACTGCTGAACAGCTTTCACAGTCAGGAAGTTTTTCCTAATGTTCAGGTAGAATCTCCTGTTTTGTCACTCCTTGTTGTCACTACATGCAGGATCTAGTTAGCAACTTGGGCCATTCATAAAAGTCTTTTGGATTTGGTTTTATTACTCAGACCTCTACAGATCAAGAAAAAAAATCACTAATGGCAGTTCTGGCTAACGCCCTTCCTTTCCTTCCAATCTAACTCCACTCCTCCAAAGTCCTTATCTGTTTTTTTCGCACGGGAAAATTAGTCCATTCAGCTGCTCTCAAATGGTTCCACCGACAGCTCTTGCTGACCCCGAGCCGTCACGGAGAGGATTTATGGTGACTTCCTGAACAGCAGAAATCAGCTCCTAATACTTATAGTATTAAATGTTATTTCTCCCATTTTAACCCCTGAGTCTTTTTCTTAAGCCCACCCTTCTTTTTATTTTCTTTACTTCAGAAATAGTACAGGCATGAAGCAAAACCTATTTTATATTGTTAGCTTGGACTGGTATTTATTGTATTACTTTTTGTGTATAGAGAAATTGAAATATATACATAAAACAAAGTGTGTACGCATGGACTGCAAAGGCACCGAAATGACTTGATAAAACTGAATCCAACTTAATATACTGACTACATATCTTTAAAAAGGCCACTTCTCTTGGGGCTTTGGCCCCAAATTCTAAAATAGGTGTATATATAGAGGGAGAAAAGGGGTGTGTGCACATTGATTCACTTCTCTTCAATGCCTGGCACATTCAAACCTGCTGTCTCCTGGAGGCTGTACACACCATGAACAGGAGGGAAACCGATTTAATTAATTTTCCTAGAGAGTTGAAGGGGATCAAACAGAGGCCTTTGTACTTTGCACATAAACATGAGATCCTGCTCCTTGCTGGGAAAGACAATAATGTTCTGCAAAGTGGGAGGCAGCAGGAAAAGGAAGAGGCTGAATTACAGCAGTTCGATCCTCTCAAAGAAACCTACTTATGGGACAGAGTGCTTTCATAACCTTGATTGACAGCTTACAGAGGGACCCAGAAAGAAGTGGATAATGTGTTCCTATTGATTTCACTGAACATTTCAGCAGTTCTCAATATCATCAACGATGGTATCCTTCTGGTCGTCTTCCTAGATGGGAATTGGAGGCATTTTACAGTGGCTCTGTTCCTTCCTGGGGAGGCAAACCAGAAACTGCTGATGGGGGATTCCTGTTCGATCCCTTGCCCATTGCTTGTGGGATCCCCTGGGCATCTGTTTTGTCCCCTATGAAATTAACATATATACGAGAGAACTCATCGAGTGTGGTGGCCATCTATATGACACCAAGTTCTACTCCTTTCCAGCTAAACCAATGTCTCTCACTAGTAATGGGCTGGAGAAGGGCAAACTGAAACTTAATCCAGAGTAGACAGAGGTGCTACTGGTCAGTCAGTATCATTTGAAAGAGAATAGGGATTCAGCCTGTGATGGATGAGGTTACATTACCACTGAAGACATGAAATACTCTGACAGGTTGGCAGTTTGTGGGGGTACTCCCTGGACTTGGCATGGAATCTGGAGGCCCGGGTTTCATGCGTGGCCAGGAGTGCCTTGCAGATTTTAAATTTGTGAAGCCAGATCTTCCCATGGTGATACATGCCTTAGTTACCTCCCATTTGGATTATTAAAATATACTCTATCTGGGGTAGTCTTTGAAGATTGGCCCAAAGAGCTGGAGTCAGACTGTTAACTAAGGCTGGCTACAGAGAGCACACAAGTCATAACTGTGTTATGTGGTGTCCCAAAAGGTGCCATTCTATCCCCAATGGTCTTTAGTATTTACATGAAGCTGCTGGGAGGATCATCCAGAGGCATGAGGCGGGGTGTTATCAGTATGCTAATGGCACTCAAATATATTTCTCCATGCCTTCAAGAACGGCTTCAGCAAAGACGTTTTTTTAAAAAATGATTACGTGTTTTGATTATGTGTTTAACAATGTTGTAACCCACATTATTATTATTATTATTATTATTATTATTATTATTATTATTATTATTATTATTATTAGTGCCACAGCTCCACTGGCTGCCAATTTGTTTCTAGACACAATTCAAATTGCATGTTATGACCTATAAAGACCTAAATGGCTCAGGTCCAGGCAATTTGATTGATTGTATCTCCTTGTACAAACCTACCTGGGCGCTAGAATCCTCAAGGGAAGCCCCTGTCTCACTCCCACCACCATCACAAGCATGCCTGGGGGATGGAAAATAACCATTGCCTAGAATGTATCTAACGTGGCAACTCCACCCACGTGCCAACTGTCTTCTTGGGCTGGCCCCTATCTGGATATGGAATGAGCTTGTTTAAATAATAAATGATTTTTAAAAGATTTGGCCAATCCAAAGAGCTACAGTCAGACTGTTAACTAAGGCTGGCTACAGAGAGCACACAAGTCATTTACTGCCATGGCTCCACTGGCTGTGAATTTGTTTCCAGACGCAATTCAATTTGCTGGCTATGATCTATAAAGATCTAAATGACTATTTGACTGATTGTATCTCCTTGCTCAAACCTACCTGAATCCTCAAGAGAAGCCCTTCTTTCACTCCCATCACCATCACAAGTGTGGCTTGTGGGTGGAAAATAACTATGTGCCTACATTTCATATAATATGGCACCCCCAACAAAGTGCCAATTGTCTTCTTGGGCTAGTCCCTACAGGGATATGGAATGAGCTTATTTTCCTATGGCCCCAGAGGAAGAGATCTGAAACACGGGATAATTTTAAGAACTTGTAAACTGATTTGGTTAACTACAAGCATAAATGGAGCTTTACCCAGAGATGACACAATCCCTAAATTCTCCTCCATGACTTGCTGGTGCAAGGTTTTTTGGCTTGGATCCAAGAGGGCCCACTCCTCCTCTGAGAAATCCACAGACACGTCTTCAAAAGTCACCTGAAGACAAAAAAAAAATGTTATCTGTAAGGAGGAAATGCCACCCAAGTGGGGAAAAACACCCTAGGCAATTTGTGATTTACATCTTTGAATAAGTCGTTCATTGAAATCATTTTGGATTGAAGGAATGTAGAAGAAAGAGGTACTTTTAGAGTCTGGGCAATATTCAAGGGAGAAGGAGACTTGACTATCCTCTCCCCTCCAGGGACCCTGCAGCCTACCTGATCTGGTCCCACAGAATCTCTTCTTAGGGAAGAATCAGGAACAGTTGTGCTACTGTCACTTGGCCATGTTTCACTGCCTGTGAAAGAGAGGAAATACACCAGAGAGGGTGAGACCAGTCCCTTTTCGGGCTGCCTCACAGTTTCCTCCCTCAGAAGCCTGCCCCACTATCCTTGCCCCATGGCCCTCCTTGGATTTGAGTCCCAGGTCTTTCATGTGAACTGTTTTAGGGGTGTTGCAAGCTAATCCCAGAAAATGTATAGGGTTGACTGTATTTGTGCCAATGTAGCAAAGAGCACATTCAGCACCATAAACATCCAGAGAGAAGCAAAGGACTCAAATAACTTTGAAAGTGGCTCAAAAAAGTATTGTAGGAAAATGTCTCCTGTCAACAGCATTCTTAAGCTCCCAGACTCCCCAAATTTTCTGAATTCACACAGCTCAGACATTTCAGGTCTACTCAAGGGAAGGTGAGCAAGCAAGAAGGACCACCACCATCCCTATTACTTACCAACTAGGATATATTTTCCTTCTCCAATATGGACAACCCAAATGTGTGATTCCTGACTGGTCTCATCTGCAAAAGAGTTCTGCACCTGAACAAGCAGCACAGATCACAAAGAAAAAGACAGATTAGAAAAGGAGGGAGGGCTCTCTTTCTGCCACCTGTCCCAGACCGCTTGGATTGTGGTTGGGACCCAAGACTGGTTTTCTTCGTTCTGCAGAAGAATCTGTCTTTCATTGATTTTGATGTGAGAATTCTGCCTTCGTTTGGGCCTTGCACTCTGCTTCAAGTCTCGATCCAAAGTGGAAGGGCTACAGCTGAGATGAAGTACTTTATGTAACTCTGGGGTTGTAATTTGGGGCGACCCTAGAGGGGCGCTTGAGCTGAGTAACCTAAGTCTATATATCTGTGCTTTCAGGGCATTGTGGAGTTTTCTCTACCTGTGAATAACATACAGAATATTCAGAAGTGTTTCAGCCTAAAATACACAGCATTGGATTCTCAATACGTTCCTTTTAATCTTCAGTGTTTACCACCCTATAACTTCAGATTATTACACCTGGTTATACCACGCTGGGGAATGGAGATTATTGTCCCCTCCTCTCTGTGAGAGCCCTTGGGTGATGCAAAGGGGTCAATCATGTCACTCCAAGTCTATTTTCCAGGGTGAACATGTTGGGTGAGTGGGCTTATTAACAAAAGACCCTCCCCATAAATGTACAACAGAGTAACTTATTAGCAGCAGCGTGACCCAACACCAGTAGACCAAAGTGATAAAAATGACAAAAACACCAATGTTATCTCTTCCCTAGGAGGCTTTTCTTTATAGCAAAATAGTAAGGTAAAGGTAGTCCCCTGACATTAAGTCCAGTCATGTCTGACTCTGGGGTGGTGGTGCTCATCTCCATTTCTAACCGAATTGACAGCATTGTCCGTAGACACCTCCAAGTTCATGTGGCCAGCATGACTGCATGGAGTGCCATTACCTTCCCGGCAAGGCGGTACCTATTGATCTACTCACCTTTGCATGTTTTCAAACTGCTAGGTTGGCAAAAGCTGGCTGACAGCAGAAGCTCACGCCGCTCCCCGGAATCGAACCTGCAACCTTTCGATCAACAAGCTCAACAGCTCAGTGCTTTAACCCACTGCGCCACCGGGGGCTCCAGAAAAATAGTAAGATCGCACTATTTACAAAAACAAGGTTTCCATAACACAAATAAAGTCCAACCTTCATACTGGAGCTTTACACACAAGGCCTTCTCATACCGAGGCCTACCTCACAATCAGGCCTACTAACAATGAGGCTTATTCTCCCACTGGAGCAATCTCTCACACAGAGAGGCTTCTCTCACACAGAGGGGCTTCTCTCAGAGATGTCTATCAGACTGAGCCGTTACTAAACAACAGGCACGCCTGTTTATATTGAACTTCATCTTCGAAGATTCACTGCATCAATTTAACCATTTCAGTGCTTAACTCACACTTTTGTAACCAAAGTTAACTTTTAATATTTCTGACAGAACACACCTGGGTCCTCCTTTCCTAATGCTTCTCTGAACAACTTCTAACTTGTTTCTATTATTCATAAAGTTAGCCACCTTAAACTGAATACGATAATCCTGTCCTGAGGAGTTCAGAAGAGTTTAATATAATCCTTCAAAACAATTATTCTTGGTTTGTTGAAACTACAAGATGACCCCCCCACACACCTGGGGCTTCTCCTGCTTCCTCTCCTCTTCCTGACTCAGGAGGAATCCTTCAGCCAAGGCCACGGCCTGGGAGCTGGTCTCTGCCCCACATTCCCTCACCCAGCGCTCCATCTCCGCAGGAAGGACGGCCAGGAACTGCTCCAGGATCACCAGGTCCAGCATCTCCGCCTTGGAGTGTCGCTCGGGCTTCAGCCACAGGCGGCAGAGAGAGTGGAGGCGGCTGCAAACCTCTCGTGGCCCCAAGGCCTCCTCGTAGCGTAAATGCTGGAAGCGCTGGCACTGAAGGTCTGAGTGGAGCAGACTGCTCTCCCGGTCTTTCCTCCAAGGGTCCTCCCAGTGTGCTCCATTGTTCCCTGCCTCAACAGCAGAAGAAAATACTTCTAACTGGGCCACAGCTGGCTCCTGGACTTCCATCTTGGTTCTGCGCTTATGAGCTGCCTCCAAAGTGGATGAAGATATCTCTGCCTCTTCTCTCTGGTGACATTCAAAGTGGAAGGATTAGGAGAACTGGTGGGGCCTGTAAAAAAAACAAACAAAACAAGGTGAATAAGCTCAATTAATACTGTTGAGGAAGGATAAAGTTTTGTTATGAATGTTGATTTGCTGTCTGGCTTCTGGATCTGGAGTGAAAAGATTCAGGGAGAGGGATCCTCTCCTTCCTAAAGACCAAAACCATCACCTGGGTTCTCCCCATTATTTGGTCCTTCCCTTGATCTCTCTTTTTCCTCCTTTGAGAAAAGTCCCATCAGATTGGAGGAGGGCCAATGTGGTCCCAATCTTCACAAAGGGAAAAAAGGATGACCCAAACAATTACTCACGTCGATACCAGGCAAAATTCTGGTAAAGATTGTTAAGGAAGTGGTCTTAAAACACTTAGAAAGAAATGCGGTCATTGCTAATAGTCAACATGGATTTATCAAAAACAAGTCATGCCAGACTCATCTGATCTCTTTTTTTGATAGAGTTACAAGCTGGGTAGATGCGGGGAATGCCGTGGATGTGGCGTACCTGGATTTCAGTAAGGCCTTTGACAAGGTCCCCCATGACCTTCTGGCAAGGAAACTAGTCCAATGTGGGCTAGGCAAAACTACGGTGAGGTGGATCTGTAACTGGTTAAATGGACGAACCCAGAGGGTGCTCACCAATGCTTCCTCTTCATCCTGGAAAGAAGTGACGAGTGGAGTGCCATCCGCAGGGTTCCGTCCTGGGCCCGGTCCTGCTCAGGATCTTCATTCATGACTTAGAGGAAGGGCCAGAAGGCAGGATCATCAAGTTTGCAGACGGGACCAAATTGGGAGGGAGAGCCAAGACTCCAGAGGACAGGAGCAGGATTCAAAACGATCTTGACAGATTAGAGATGGGCCAAAACTAACAAAATGAAGTTCAACAGTGACAAATGCAAGATACTCCACTTTGGCAGGAAAAACGAAATGCAAAGATACAGAATGGGGGACACCTGGCTTGAGAGCAGTACGTGTGAAAAAGATCTTGGAGTCCTCGTGGACAACAAGTTAAACATGAGCCAACAATGTGATGTAGTGGCAAAAAAAGCCAATGGGATTTTGGCCTGCATCAATAGGAGCATAGTGTCTAGATCTAGGGAAGTAATGCTACCCCTCTATTCTGCTTTGGTTAGACCACACCTGGAATATTGTGTCCAATTCTGGGCACCACAATTCAAGAGAGATATTGACAAGCTGGAAGTGTCCAGAGGAGGGCGACTAAAATGATCAAGGGTCTGGAGAACAAGCCCTATGAGGAGCGGCTTAAAGAGCTGGGCATGTTTAGCCTGAAGAAGAGAAGGCTGAGAGGAGACATGATAGCCATGTATAAATATGTGAGAGGAAGTCATAGGAGAGGAGGGAGCAAGCTTGTTTTCTGCTGCCCTGGAGACTGGGACGCGGAACAATGGCTTCAAACTACAAGAAAGGAGATTCCATCTGAACATGAGGAAGAACTTCCTGACTGTGAGAGCTGTTCAGCAGTGGAACTCTCTGCCCCAGAGTGTGGTGGAGTCTCCTTCTTTGGAAGCTTTTAAACAGAGGCTGGATGGCCATCTGTCAGGGGTGATTTGAATGCAATATTCCTGCTTCTTGGCCGAATGGGGTTGGATCTGGATGGCCCATGAGGTCTCTTCCAACTCTTTGATTCTATGATTCTAAGCACAGAAGGGAGAAAAGACCCACCTGCCGCTCCTTCCCTCGGAGGACTGACTCCCTTCCGGAAGCGGCACTCCTCCTCCCTCCTTCAGCCAATTAAAGCCTCCAGGAAGTGACGCGCTCGCTAGTGGCCGGAAGAGGCAGGCTTCCCTATTTTGGGAGGCCCTTCCTTCCTGCTTCCCCTCTAGGAACTCCTCCTTCACTGCCCGCCAGTCTGTTTCCAGGCTCAGTTCAGAGAGGAGTTCAAGCCCTTCTGTGTCTGAGTCCTCAGCCATTGCTAGGTTTGCAGAAGCAGAGGAGAAGCTCGGCCTGTCACTGAACATGGAGAAAACCAAAGTGCTCTTCCAGCAGGCACCAGCCAACCCCTTCCCAATGCCACAGATACAGCTTAGTGGTGTAACATTGATGGCAACAGTTTTGGACAGCAATGGCTCCCAAAGTGACCCATTTAAGGTGGAATCCGGTGTCAAACAGGGATGTGTTATTGCCCCAACTCTATTCTCCATCTTCATTGCTATGATACTTCACCTTGTTGATGGGAAGCTTCCCACCAGAGTGGAAATCATCTATCTATCAGACAAGATGGCAAGCTATTTAACCTCAGCAGACTGAAAGCCAAAACCAAGGTTACAACAACATGTTATAGAACTCCAGTATGCTGATGACAACGTCGTCTGTGCGCATTCAGAAGAAGACCTACAAGCCACTCTAAACACCTTTGAAGAAGCATACGAGAAGCTCGGCCTGTCATTGAACATTGGAAAAACCAAGGTGTTGTTCCAGCAGGCACCAGCCAACCCCTTGTTGATGGGAAGCTTCCCACCGGAATGGAAATCATCTATCGGATAGATGGCAAGCTATTCAACCAAGGTGCTGTTCCAGCAGTCACCCGCCAATCCCTTTCCAATGCCAGTAATACAGCTTAATGGTGTAACATTGATGGCAACAGTTTTGGACTGCTAAAGTGACCCATTCAAGGTGGAATCTGGTGTCAAACAGGGATGTGTTATTGCCCCAACTTTATTCTCCATCTTCATCGCTATGATACTTCACCTTGTTGACGGGAAGCTTCCCACCGGAGTGGAAATCATCTTACTTACTTACTTACTTAGGCGATCCCTCATTGGACGAGTAAGATGGTCTTCCATTATGGATTTCCTTGTGGGTCCGTATGTGGCTGTGGAGCCCTATTCTTGACCTGCATGTTCTCCCACAGTGAGGGCATTAGTTTCCAGGTGGAAGGGGTCCCAGTCGGAGTTGGCTTGACACGCCTTCCTCCTGGCACGTTTCTCTCTTTCGCCCTCCATTCATGCCTCTTCAAATTCTACAGCACTGCTGGTCACAGCTGACCTCCAGCTAGAGCACTCAAGGGCCAGAGTTTCCCAGTTCTCAGTGTCTATGCCGCAGTTTTAAAGGTTGGCATTGAGCCCATTTTTAAATCTCTTTTCCTGTCCACCAACGTTTCGTTTTCCGTTCTTAAGTTCGGAGTAGAGCAACTGCTTTGGGAGACGGTTGTCAGGCATCCGGACAACGTGGCCAGCCCAGCGGAGTTGATGTTGGAGGACCATCGCTTCAATGCTGGTAGTCTTTGCTTTTTCCAGCACACTGACGTTTGTCCGCTTGTCCTCCCAGGAGATTTGCAGGATTTTCCGGAGGCAGCGCTGATGGAATCGTTCCAGGAGCTGCATGTGACGTCTGTAGACAGTCCACGTCTCACAGGCATAGAGCAGGGTTGGGAGGACAATAGCTTTATAGACAAGCACCTTGGTCTCCCTACGGATGTCCCGGTCCTCAAACACTCTCTGCTTCATTCTGGAAAATGCTGCACTTGCAGAGCTCAGGCGGTGTTGTATTTCGGCGTCGATGTTGACTTTGGTGGAGAGGTGGCTGCCAAGGTAGCGGAAATGGTCCACATTTTCTAATGTGACACCATTAAGCTGTATTACTGGCATTGGAGAGGGGATTGGCTGGCGACTGCTGGAACAGCACCTTGGTTTTCTCGATGTTCAGTGACAGGCCGAGCTTCTCGTATGCTTCTGCGAAGGTGTTTAGAGTGGCTTGTAGATCTTCTTCTGAATGCGCACAGACGACATTGTCATCAGCATACTGGAGTTCTATAACAGATGTTGTTGTAACCTTGGTTTTGGCTTTCAGTCTGCTGAGGTTAATTAGCTTGCCATCTGTACGAGATTTCACCTGAACATGAGAAAGAACTTGGTAATTGTGAGAGCAGTGGAACTTTCTGCCCTGGAGTATGGTGGAGGCTCTTTCTTTGGAGGCTTTTAAACAGAGGCTGGGTGGCCATCTGTCGGGGGTGTTTTGAATGCAATTTTCCTGCTTCTTGGCAGAATGGGGTTGGACTGGATGGCCCACAAGGTCTCTTCCAACTCTATGATTCTATGATTCTATGATGAAGAGATCTTTCAAGAAACCAGCTGATCCCTAACCCATCTACAAGGGGTATTTTTTAAGTAAGGTCCGTTTTGTTGTAGACACTAGTAGTTCGCGCGCATACCGCAACGAGCGCGTGTACCGGCATGCCTCGGGAACAACTGTGCTCAGTTTCCGCTCTGTAGCTCACCTGTACGGTTCTGTTCTGTGCTTAAAAATGTTTAAGACTTTCAACTCACCCGCCGCATGTGAGGTTCGCTCAGTGATACGGTTTTTGTCAGCAAGGAACCTGCCTGCTGCAGAAATTCATCGACAGATTTGTGAAGTGTACGGTGATACTGTTATGAGTGAAAGCAAAGTGCGTAAGTGGGTACGACAATTCAAAGATGGCCGTGACAACATCCATGATGAGGACCGCTCCGGTCGCCCTTCTTTGATTACAGATGATTTGGTGGCTTCAGTTGAAGCGAGGATTTATGAAGAGGGTATTTTAAAATTGGTTCAGAGGTATGATAAGTGTTTGAACAAACTTGGCAACTATGTCAAAAAATAGAGTGAAGTATGTACTTTCTGAAAATAAATTTACTTTTTTGAAATAAACTTTCGTTGTGTACTTATGTTCCAACGGACCTTACTTAAAAAATACCCCTCATAAAACACAGACATGTGCTTTCCACCTTAAGAACAGACAAGCATCCCGAGCACTGAAGATTACCTGGGAAGGAGTCCCACTGGAGCATTGCAGTGCACCCAAATACCTGGGAGTCACTCTGGACCATGCTCTGACCTACAAGAAGCACTGCATGAACATCAAGCAAAAGGTGGGCGCTAGAAATAATATCTTTCATGACTGGCACAACCTGGGGATCACAACCACACACAGTGAAGACATCTGCCCTTGCGCTTGGCTACTCTGCTGCTAAGTACGCATGCCCAGTGTGGAACACATCTCACCACGCTAAAACACTGGCTATGGCTCTTAATGAGACATGTTGCATTATCACGGGGTGTCTGCGCCCTACACCACTGGAGAAATTACACTGTTTAGCCAGTATTGCACCACCTGACATCCATCGGGGAGTAGCGGAACAATGGCTTCAAACTACAGCAAAGGAGATTCCACCTGAACATGAGGAAGAACTTCCTGGCTATGAGAGCTGTTCAGCAGTGGAACTCTCTGCCTCGGAGTGTGGTGGAGGCTCCTTCTTTGGAGGCTTTTAAACAATGGCTGGATGGCCATCTGTCAGGGGTGATTTGAATGCAATTTTCCTGCTTCTTGGCAGAATGTGGTTGGACTGGATGGCCCATGAGGTCTCTTCCAACTCTATGATTCTATGATTTTAAAGAATGCTGTTCATGCGCTGTAGAAACTGGAGACTTTTAAACAGAGGCTGGATGGCCATCTGTCAGGGGTGCTTTGAATTTGGAACCACTGCTTTAGACCATAGCAAATAGACACAGTGCAAAATTATTCTATTACTATCATAACATACAGAAGAGACTCAGAATTTGAACCACACCTTTCCTTCAGGCTAAACTAGATTAATTCTCAGTTACATATTTGAGGAAACACATAGTGTTAATTTGAGATTGAATACACGCATCTGCAATAAATTTACTATTATTTATACATTATTAGTTGTCCCCTGCCACGCGTTGCTGTGGCCCAGTCTGGTGATCTGGAAAATAAAGTAACGAGAAAGTGTTGGCTTCTAATGTATGTAATGTCTTTATGCTTGTGGGTAAACAGTATTTCTTGGATGGCTCTTTGTCAGTGTTGATGTTGAGATTATCTGGTTTGCCGACTCTGGAACAGGCAACATTTAATTGTCCTTCTTTAGGGGTCCTTTCAAATCTAGGATACTATATCTGTGTGTGTGTGAATCATGTCTCTCTATATCTATGGCTGGATGGCTCTTTGTCAGAGGGCTTTGATTACATTTTCTTGCCCTGGTGAAGGAAGTTGGACTGGATGGCCTTAAGTATTTTCTGTTGGTCATGGGGGTTCTGTGTGGGAAGTTTGGCCCAATTCTGTCGTTGGTGGGGTTCAGAATGCTCCTTGATTGTAGGTAAACTATAAACCCCAGTAACTACAACCCCCAAATGTCAAAGTCTATTTCCCCATCTGTGTTCATATTTGGGCGTATTAAGGATTTGTGCCAAGTTTGGTCCAGATCCATCATTGTTTGAGTCCACAGTGCTCTCTGGATGCAGGTGAACTACAACTCCCAAACTCAAGGTCAATGCCCACCAAACCCTTCTAGTGTTTTCTGTTGGTCAGGGAAGTCCTGTCTGCCAAATTTGGTTCAATTCCATCGTTGGTGGATTCAGAATGCTCTTTGATTGTAGGTGAATTATAAATCCCAGCAACTACAACTCCCAAATGACAAAATCGTAATTTTTGAGTGATGGTCACTCCTTGTGTTGTGAGACATTTTGTTGCCAAATGTGGTGTAATTTCGTTCATTGGTTCTTTTGTTTTTATGGTACTCATTATGCACAGAGCATTTTTATATATATAGATAAATAGGACAAGAAATATTCACAGTAACCAATATGCATAATTGATTAGAAAACAATTCATCGGTTATGCTTTATTAGGTATTTCATGAAAGAAAACCCAGTACCACATACATAGAATACATAGAATTACATGATACACAGGGCTGTTAGTCGTTAATCGAACCCATTCTCACACTTCTCATCAAATTTCTCAATTAAATGTATTTTTTTTACCCTAATAGGACAGGAAATCTTTGCAGTAACCAGTATGCATGAGTGATTCAAAACCTGAAATATGTTTTAGCTCTCAAAATATTATCACTTATGCTTAATTACATATTTTATCAAAGACAACTGATCAGGTTTGTGCTTTTCCTGCATGACTGGGAGTTGGACCAGATGGCCCATGCGATCTCTTCCAACTCAAATAATTATTCTATTATTTGAGATTATTATTTTCCCCGAAATACCATGGCTTTGTAACTCAGTGATTCTAAGACAAAAATCCATGCCCTCTCTGATGTAAAACAAGAAAACTTGTCTTACTCCAGCTGTACTGGACTAAGGACAATTGGTGTGAACTGAAATGAATCTTTTGACAGAAGCTCTTTTGATGGTAATCATTTCAGTCAGTGAATTGCATGAAGTATTCTTGAAGAAATACTTCGAGAAATTTGAAGTATTCCTTGAGACTGAAGCTTTTCACATAAATAAACTGTTTCTTTCATATGTGAGTTACTGGATGATGAGTGACACCACTCTTAAGACAGACCCTCTTTTCACACTCTAAGCATATAAATGGTTTCTCCCCAGTGTGCACTGCTTCATGATGAACTAAGTTTTTTCCAACTGAAAGCTTTGCCACACTACAAGCATTTAAATGGCTTATTCCCAATGTGACTGCTTTGTAAGATTTCTCTTCTGACTGAAGTCCTTTCCACACTCCCTAGCATGTAAATTATTTCTCCCCTGTGTTAGCTACGTGATGACAAAGAATATTGCTTCTGATTGAAACTCTTTCCACACTACGAGCATTTAAACGATTTATCTCCAGTGACAGATTTCAAGCTTACAAAGCTTTTGCTTCTCATGAAAGCTCCTTCTGCTCTTTAAGCATATGGTTTCGATTTATCGATTTAACCATATGGGGGACGTTTGGCTCGAGAGCAGTATGTATGAAAAAGATCTTGGGGTCCTTGTGGACAACAAGTTAAACACAAGCCAACAATGTCATGCGGTGGCAAAAAAAATATCCAATGGGATTTTGGCCTGCATCAATAGGAGTATAGTGTTTAGATCCAGGGAAGTCATGCTCCCCATGCTCTATTCTGCCTTGGTTAGACCACACATGGAGTATTGTGTCCAATTCTGGGCACCACAATTGAAGAGAGATATTGACAAGCTGGAATGTGTCCAGAGGAGGGCAACTAAAATGATAAAGGGTCTGGAGAACAAGCCCTATGAGGAGCGGCTTAGGGAACTGGGCATGTTTAGCCTGAAGAAGGGAAGACTGAGAGGAGACATGATAGCCATGTATAAATATGTGAGAGGAAGTCACAGGGAGGGGGGAGCAAGCTTGTTTTCTGCTGCCCTGGAGACTAGGACGCGGAACAACGGCTTCAAACTACAAGAGAGGAGATTCCATCTGAACATGAGGAAGAACTACTTGACTGTGAGAGCTGTTCAGCAGTGGAACTCTCTGCCCCAGAGTGTGGTGGATGGTCCTTCTTTGGAAGCTTTTAAACAGAGGCTGGATAGCCATCTGTCGGGGGTGCTTTGAATGCAATTTTCCTGCTTCTTGGCAGGGGGTTGGACTGGATGACCCATGAGGTCTCTTCCAACTCTATGATTCTATGATTCTATCTCCTGTGTGAGTTGCCTGATGATGAACAAGGACTGCCTTCTGACTCAAGCTCTTTCTAGACTCTAAGTATGAAAATGGTTTCTCTCCTTTGTGAGTTGCCTGATGACGAGCAAGGACTTTCTTCCTTCTGAAGCCCTTTCCACACTCTAAGCATCTGAATGGTACCTCTCCTGTGTGAGATTTCTGATGGCATACAAGATCATTCTTCTGTCTGAAGCTCTTTTCACACTCTGAGCATTTAAATGGCTTCTCTCCTGTATGAGTTGCCTGATGACGAACAAGGTGTGACTTCTGACAGAAGCTCTTTCCACACTCTGGGCACTTAAATGGTCTCTCTCCTGTGTGAGCTAAATGATGACGAACAAGGTGTGACTTCTGACAGAAGCTCTTTCCACACTCAGGGCATTTAAATGGCTTCTCTCCTGTGTGAGTTGCCTGATGACAAGCAAGGACTATCTTCCGTTTGAAGCTCTTTCCACATTCTAAGCATCTGAATGGTGTTTCCCTTGTGTGAGTTTTCTGGTGGCGAACAAGATCTCTCTTCTCACTGAAACCCTTTCCACACTCTGAGCATTTAAACGGTCTCTCCCCTGTGTGAGTTGCCTGATGATGAACAAAGCCTCTCTTCCAACTGAAACTCTTTTCACACTCCAAGCATTTAAATGGCTTCTCCCCTGTGTGAGTTTTTTGGTGGCGAACAAGGTCTCTCTTCTGACAGAAACCCTTCCCACACTCTGAGCATTTAAACGGTTTCTCTCCTGTGTGAGTTGCCTGATGACGAACAAGGACTGTCTTCCAACTGAAACTCTTTCCACACTCCAAGCATTTAAATGGCTTCTCTCCTGTGTGAGTTTTCTGGTGACGAAAAAGGTCTCTCTTCTGACTGAAGCCCTTTCCACATTCTGAGCATTTAAATGGTCTCTCTCCTGTGTGAGCTAATTGATGAATGGCAAGGTGTACCTTTTGATAGAAGCTCTTTCCACACTCTGGGCATTTAAATGGCTTTTCTCCTGTGTGAATTACCTGATGACGAACAAGATTTGATTTACTACTGAAGCTCTTTCCACACTCAAAGCATTTAAATGGCTTTTCTTCTGCGTGTTTTCTCTGATGGAAAATAAGGTGTGAGTTCTGACTGAAGCTCTTTCCACATACGGAGCATTTAAATGGCTTTTCTCCTCTGTGCGCTGCCTCATGATGTATAAGGTGTATCTTTCGGCTGAAGCTCTTTCCACACTTTGAGCATTTAAATGGTTTCTGTCCTGGATGAACTAACTGATGAAATACAAGGTGTGCCTTTCGATAGAAGCTCTTTCCACACTCTGGGCATTTAAATGGCTTTTCTCCTCTATGGGTTGCCTGATGCTGAACAAGGCCTCCCTTATATCCAAAGCTCTTTCTAGACTCTGGGCATTTAAATGATCTCTTTCCTTTGTGAATTGCCTTATGACGAGCAAGAAATCCCTTCTGACTGAAGTTCTTACCACACTGCAAGCATTTAAATGGTTTCTCTTGTTTGTGCGTTGCCTGATGACGAGCAAAAACTCTCTTATGATTGAAGCTCTTTCCACACTCTGTGCATTTAAATGGCTTCTGTTCTGTCTGAGTTGCCTGGTGACGAACAAGGTTTGACTTCTGGCTGAAACTTTTTTCACACTCTACGCATTTTAATGGTTCATCCCTTGTGTGAATTTCTTGACAAAAGGTGAGTGCTTCTTTCCAATTAAAATTCCTTCCAAATTCCAAATATTTAAATGGTGTCTTCTCTTTACATGGTTTGAAAAGAAGGGAAGTGTGACCATGTGTTGAAAAGAAAATATTACATTAAAGTTAAAACGTATACAAATTACAAAATGCATTTAGTCAAGACAGCCCTTTCCCACAGCCCTTTCCAACACTGGCTGCTAAAAGAAAAAATAATATTTTGATATTATACCAAGATATAAGCCTCAAAGTACATCATAACTCAACCAGGGCTGGGAAAATAACCCAAGTTTCTCTAAAATCCCCTATACTTCTGGCACAGGAAAGGTAAAAACCCTTGATCTGCCTGATGCCACAAACATAGGTGAACTTAACTTCATGGCGTCAGGTAGCAGAACAAACATCCACATTCAGATTAAAAGCCACAATAAAATTGCCATTAAAAAAAAGGATTGAATGAAGCTGCCCAGATATGGGATTTGGCAATCTCTCTCTGTTTTGTCGCTCATTGTATTATGGATTAAATGTTATTTCTCTCATTTTAACCCCTTAGTCTCTTTTTTAAAAGCACCCCCAACTGTTGAATTAGCATGAGGCAAAATCTGATTTATATCGTCAGCCTCACAAGTGTGGACTGGTATATATTAGGCTTGGGCAATCCATGGTTCTAAATGGTTCTAAAGTACTTACAAAACTAAAGTTCTGGTGATGAAAATTTCAAAACTCTAACAAAACTCTCAAAATTTCATTATAAATGGCAGTTCCTAATTGGTTCTGTCATAAAAATCTCCAATAATGAAATAATAATTACATTTTGAAAGTTTTGTTAGAGTTCTGAAATTTTCACCACCAGAACTTTAGTTTTGTAAGTACTTTAGAACCATTTAGAACCATGGATTGCCCAAGCCTAGTATATATTGTATTAATTTTTGTGTATGAAGACATCTATACATCTGCAAGTCAAAGTGTGTATGTATGGACTGGAAAGGCTCTGAAATAGCTTGATAGACCTAATTCAAACACTTCATGGACCAACTTAAAATACTGATTATATTTCAAATAAAAGGCCACTCCTTTTGGGGCTTTGGCCCCCAAGACGAAATAAGTATATATAGAGAGGGAAAAGGGGGGTGCATACATGTTGATTTATGAACAAGCGTTCAGTTAAACGGTGCAACTAAACTCAGGAAGACGGCATAATCGAACACTGGAATGGTATAAGGATTTTGAGAAAGTATTCTGATTTTATTGAGGCGTTGATAGGATAATTGATTGTTGTTTGTCTGTTGTTTATGATGTGTTTTAACCACTTGTTATTGTTATAATAATCTGCACTGTGTAAACCGCATTGAGTCGCCGAAAAATGCGGTATAGAAGTAAAGCAAATAAATAAATAAATAAATACTTCTCTTCCAACCCTGGAGCTTTCAGCCTCACTCTCTCCTGGGAACTGCATAGAGCATGAATGGGAGTGAACTTAATTAACTGTCTGAATTCTCCTAGAGAGTCAAAGGGACCAGACTGAGGACATCCTACTTGGGACATACACATGAGATGTTGCATCTCACTGGAAAAGACAATAATGTTCTGCAAAGTGGAAGGCAGCAGGAAAAGAGAGAGGCTGAATTACAGTGGGCTGATCCACTCAAGGAAACCTGCTTATGGGACAGACTGCTTTGGTAACCTTGTTTGATGGCCTAGAGATGGACCCAGACAGAAGTGGAGAATGTGTCCCTATTGATTCCAATGAACATTTCAGCAGTTCTCCATATCAACAATGGTATCCTTCTGCGTCGCCTTCCTAGATGGGAATTGGAGGCATTTCACAGTGGCTCTGTTCCTTCCTAGAAAGGCAAACCCAGAAAGTGCTGCTGGGGGATTCCTGTTCAACCTCTTGCCTATTGCCTGTGGGATTCCTGAGACGTGGAAGTCTGACTTGGCCACGGTGGTCCATGCTCTTGTTACATCCCGAATAGATTACTGCAATGCGCTCTACGTGGCGTTGCCTTTGAAGACTGTTTGGAAGCTTCAAATGGTCAAATGGTCCAAAGGGCGACAGCCAGGTTACTAACAGGAGCGGTGCTCAGGGAACACACTACTCCTCTGTTGCGTCAGCTCCACTGGCTGCCAATTTGCTACTGGGCACAATTCAAAGTGCTGGCTTTAGCCTATAAAGCCCTAAATGATTCCGGCCCAGCTTACCTGTCTGAATGTATCTCCTCCTATGAACCACCTAGGAGTTTTAGATTGTCTGGGGAGGCCCTGCTCTCAATCCCGCCTGCCTCGCAAGTGCGATTGGCAGAGACGAAGGACAGGGCCTTCTCAGTGGTGGCCCCCCAGCTATGGAACTCCCTCCCCAGGGATATTAGATTGGCCCCCTCCCTCCTGACTTTCCGAAAAAAAGTAAAGACCTGGCTCTTTGAGCAAGCTTTTGAGAATGCAGCAAAATAGATAACATGGAACTATGAATGATGAACATGGAATGTATTGTCAAAGGCTTTCATGGACAGAATCACTGGGTTGTTGTAGGTTTTTTCGGGCTATATAGCCTCTGAGGATGCTTGCCATAGCTGCAGGCGAAACATCAGGAGAGAATGCCTCTAGAACATGGCCATATAGCCCAAAAAAACCTACAACCCAAAACATGGAATGGCCCCATGATGTTACTGGATAACGCTTTTAACAAGATGACACTGATGATTATATGCTGTAATGGTTTTTATTTATGTTTTATATTGTAATGTTGATTGTTTTTCATGGCACATTTAAGAATGCCTGACATCAAATTGTGCCAATCTGTTACCTGCCTTGAGTCGCCGTATGGCTGAGAAAGGCAGGCTTTAAATATCGTAAATAAATAAATAAATCTGTTTTGTCCCCTATGCTATTAAAGTATATATGGAGAGGTCATTCAGAGTTTTGGAGTGCAGTGCCATCTGTATGCAGATGACACCTAGCTCTGCTGCTCCTTTCCAACTAAAGCATTGCCTCTCATCAGTAATGGACTGGAAAAGGGTAAACCACCTGAAACTTAATCCAGACTAGACAGAGGTGCTACTGGTCAGTCATAAGGCAGATCACGGATTAGAGATTCAACCTGTGATGGATAGGGTTACATTACCACTGAAGACACAGGTCTCCAGTTTGGGACTTGGCATAGAATCTGGAGGCCCAGGTTTAATGCGTGGCCAGGAGTGCCTTGACCAACTACACCTCTTCCTTGAAAACCAGTTCTGCCCTTGGTGGTACATACCTTAGTTACACCCCATTTGGATTACTATAATCACTCTACCCCGGCACCAACTGCTGTGCTCTGGGCCAGAGTCAAGAGAAAGCGGGGGAAGAAGACCCATCTTGTCTCCTGTACTTTACTAATAATATAATATATTGTATATACATATAATATTTACAATATTATAATGTAATACAATATAATACTAATAATAATACAATATAATGGTGTAGTACAATATAGTAATATATAATACTGATATTGTACTATGCTAATAATATAATATATTGTATGTATATATATTTTGTAAGCTGCTCTGAGTCCCCTTCAGAGTGAGAAGGGCATTATATAAATGTTGTAAATAAATAAATAAATAAATAAATAAATGATTTTTAAAAGATTTGGCCAATCCAAAGAGCTACAGTCAGACTGTTAACTAAGGCTGGCTACAGAGAGCACACAAGTCATTTACTGCCATGGCTCCACTGGCTGTGAATTTGTTTCCAGACGCAATTCAATTTGTTGGCTATGATCTATAAAGATCTAAATGACTATTTGACTGATTGTATCTCCTTGCTCAAACCTACCTGGGTGCTAGAATCCTCCAGAGAAGCCCTTCTCTCACGCCCACCACCATCACAACCATGGCCTGTGGGTTGGAAAATAACTATGTGCCTACATTTCATATAATATGGCACCTCCAACAAAGTGCCAATTATCTTCTTGGGCTGGCACCTATATGGATATGGAATGAGCTTATTTTCTATGGCTTCAGAGGAAGAGATCTGAAACACTGGATGATTTTCAGAACTTGTAAACTGATTTGGTTAACTACAAGCATAATGGAGCTTTACCCAGAGATGACACAATGCCAAAGTTCTCCTCCATGACTTGCTGGTGCAGGGCTTTTTGGCTTGGATCCAAGAGGGCCCACTCCTCCTCTGAGAAATTCACAGACACATCTTCAAAGGTCACCTGAAGGGAAAAAATGTTATCTGCGAGGAGAAAACGCCATCCACATTGTGAAAGAAAACAGGCCATTTGTGATTTACATCTCATTCATTGAAAACATCTTGTATGGAAGGAATGTAGAAGAAAGAGGTTCACTTAGAGTCAGGGAAATATTCAAGGGAGAAGGAGACTGGGCTTCCCCTCCCCTCCAGGGATCCTGCTGCCTACCTGATCTGGTCCTGCACAATCTCTTCTTAGGAAAGAATCAGGAAAAGTTGAACTACTACCACTTGGCCGTGTTTCACTGCCTGTGAAAGAGAGGAAAAACATCAGAGAGGGTGAGACCAGTCCCTTTTCCAGGCTGCCCCACAGTTCCTTCCCTCAGAAGCTTGCCACTCTCCCCTTGCACTGCCCATCCCTTACCAACTGTGATATAGTCTCCATTTCCAGTCTGGACAACGCACATGGTGTCTGAAGATTTCTCCACCTGACTGGTCTCATCTGGAAAAGAGTCCTGCACCTGAATAAGCAGCACAGATAACGAAGAAAAAGACAGATTAGAAAAGGAGGGAGGGCTCTCTTTCTGCAACCTGATCCAGACCAGTTTGGGTTTTGGTTGGGACCCAAGACTGGTTTTCTTCATTCTGTAGAAGAATCTGTCTTTCTTTGATTTTAGTGTGGGAATTCTGCCTTCATTTGGGCATTGAACTCTTCTTCAATTCTCGATTGGAAGTGGAAGGGCTACTGTTGAGATGAAGAAAGTACTTTACATAATCCTGTGGTTGTAATTTGGGGCTACCATAGAAGGGCTCTCGGGCTGAGTAACCTAAGTCTGTCTGTGCTTTTAGGTCCCTGTTGAATTATCTCTACCTGTAAATAACATACAGTTTCCTAGGTAAATAACATGCAGAAGCAGTTCAGGCAGATGCTTCCTCTGAAATATACAGGAATTCTCAATATGTTCCTTTTAATCTTCAAAGTTTACCATCCTATAACTTCATATAATTACACCTGGTTATCCCACCCTGGGGAATGGAGAGGACTGTGCCCTCCTCTTTGTGAGAGCCCTTGGGGGGTTCAAAGGGGGCAATCAGGGCACTCCAAGTCTCTTTTCCAAGGTGAACACACCTGGGTCCTCCTTTCCTAATGCTTCTCTGAACTTGTTTCAACTTATTTCTATGATTTTTAAAATTAATTACCTAAAAGTGAATGCAATCATCTCAGCCTGAGGAGCTTAGAAGAGTTTTACATTATCCTTCAAAACAATTATTCTTGGTTCCTTGAAATGACAAGATGAATCAATCTCTCTCACCTGGAGCTTCTCCCGCTTCCTCTCCTCTTCCTGACTCAGGAGGAATCCTTCAGCCAAGGCCACGGCCTGAGAGCTGGTCTCTGCCCCACATTCCCTCACCCAGCGCTCCATCTCCGCAGGAAGGACGGCCAGGAACTGCTCCAGGATCACCAGGTCCAGCATCTCCGCCTTGGAGTGTTGCTCGGGCTTCAGCCACAGGCGGCAGAGAGAGTGGAGCCAGCTACAAACCTCTCGAGGCCCCAAGGCCTCCTCATAGCGGAAACACCGGAAGCACTGGCGCTGAAGGTCTGAATGGAACAGACCTTCACTCTTCTTCTGGTCTTTCCTCCAAGGGTCCTCCCAGAATGCTCTATTGTTCTCTGCCTTAACAGTAGAACAAAATACTTCTAAATGGGCAGCAGCTGGCTCTTGCCCTTCCATCTTTGTTCTGTACATCTGGAATGCCTCCAAACTAGAAGAAGATATTCTCCCTTCTCCCACCAGAAGATATCTGAAGGAGAAGAACTGGCAGACCTACAAAACAAACAAGGTCATGTTAATACTGTCAAGGTGGGATAATGTTTTGCTATGAATATTGAATGGAGGACTGGCTTCCTGATCTGGAGAGAAAGGGTTTGGGGAGAGGGTCCCCTCCTTCTCACAGAGCAACACTGTCCCCTGTAATCCTCTCTTGTTCTTCCCCTAGAATCTTTTCTATCTCTTTCCCTTCCTTTGGGAATCCTTCCAAATCACTTTCTGGCAGCAGATGCCGGAGGGTTTGTTCCTGGAGCCTCTCTCTACACTCTTTCAGGCCCCACAGACCCCAGTCCCAGTTAGCTGAAGCTGGGAAGGAAGGCACAATCCTCTGAAGGAGGAGAAGGAGGAGGCTGAGGAGGAGGGAGAGGGAAGGAAGGGATCCTTTGGTCGGTTTCAGAGGAGCTCCAGAGCCCTTTCCTCCAAGAAACAAAGGGCCTGAGTCTCCCTCCTTGCCGCATCCCTCCTTCTGCTGCCTGGGGGCTCTTCCAGGCAGCTCCCCCCCATCCCAGGTTTCCTGCTTTAAATTGGATTATATGAGTCCACACTGCCAGATAAGGTGTAAGAATGAACAGGGAAGTGGAAGGAGAAAGGTGTGGAGAAAGAGGAGGGAGTGCAGGGAACCCTTGGCCAGCTTCAGGGGGGCTTCCAGAGCTCCTTCCTCCAAGAAACAAAGGGCCCCGAGTCTTCCTCTTGTCTACCTACCACCCTCTGCTACCTGGGGCCCTTCCAGGCAGGCCTTACATCCCAGGATCATTTTTTATTTCAACCTCTCTAGCGAGCCTGAGTGTGTTTTGGCTTTTCTAAATCTATTTTTACATTTGCCGACTCTTTGTCTGAATTCCTCTTTGCTGTTTTCTTTCTTGCACAAGTCCCTTTTAAATTTTAGCTCAGGGCCCTTCCAGACAGGCCCTCTGCCTCAGGATCTGATCCCAAGTTTTCTGTTTATCCCAGATTATCTGGCAGTGAGGACTCATAGAATCCAGTTTAAAGCATTGAACCTGGGATCAGATCCTGAGATAGATAGATAGATAGATAGATAGATAGATAGATAGATAGATAGATAGATAGAGATAGATAGATAGATAGATAGATATAGATCAAGGGTCCTCAAACTAAGACCTGGGGGCTGGATATGGCCCTCCAAGGTCATTTACCCGGCCCTCGCTCAGGGTCAACCTAAGTCTGAAATGACTTGAAAGCACACAACAACAACAATCCTATCTCATCAGCCAAAAGCAGGCCCACACTTCCCACTGAAATACTAATAAGTTTATATTTGTTAAAATTATTTAATTATTTATTGTTTTTAAGTGTTTTCTGCACTACAAATAAGATATGTGCAGTGTGCATAGGAATTCATTTATGCTTTTTTCTAATTATAATCTGGCCCTCCAACAGTTTGAGGGACTGTGACCTGGCTCTCTGTTTAAAAAGTTTGAGGACCCCTGATAGAGATGGATAGATAAGAGACAGAGATAGCTAGAAAGAGATAGAGATACAGATAGAGATAGATAGTAGATAGATAAAGATAGTAAATAAAGATATAGATATACAGATAGAGATAGATAGAGAGATAGATATAGAGATATAGGTAGATATATTTATAGATCAAGGGTCCTCAAACTAAGGCCCATGGGCCGGATACGGCCCTCCAAGGTTGTTTACCTGGCCCTCGCTCAGGGTCAATCTAAGTCTGAAATGACTTGAAAGCACACAACAACAACAACAACAACAACAATCCTATCTCATCAGTCAAAAGCAGACCCACAGTTCCCATTGAAATACTAATAAGTTTATATTTGTTGAAATTGTTCCTCATTTTAATTATTGTATTGCATTTAAGTGTTTTTTGCACTACAAATAAGATATGTGCAGTGTGATAGGAATTCATTCATGTTTTTTTTTTCAAATTATAATCCGGCCCTCCAACAGTTTAAGGGACTGACACCTGGCCCTCTGTTTAAAAAGTTTGTGGACCCCTGATAGAGATAGATAGCGATAGATAGGGATATAGATTGATAGAGATAGATAAACAGAAAGATATAGATAGAGATAGTAGATAGATAGAGATAGATAAATAAATAGAAAGATATAGATAGGGATAGCTAGAGATAGTAGATAGAGATAGTAGATATAGATATAGAGTTAGATAAACAGAAAGAGATAGAGATAGATTATTATTATTATTATTATTACTTTATTTGTACCCCGCTAGCATCTCCCGAAGGACTCGATGCGGCTTACATAGGCCAAGGCCTCAAAACACAATACAACAATACAATACCTAGAGCAAATTAAAAACAGTTAAGCAGAATAAACAACAGCAATAACAATACATCGAGACATCAAGACACTATAAAACTGGGCCAGGCCAGAGTAATGGGTACAAGATTAAAAGTGCTGATGTGGCAGGAGGTATATAGGATTATAAAGTAAGTGCAGTGATCTTAGTTACTAAAGTGCTTCTAGGACTTGGTATTGGGGGTTCCTAATCTGGGAAGGCACATCGGAACAGCCAGGTCTTCAAGTTCTTTCTAAAGACTGCCAATGTAGGGGCCTATCTAAGATCTTTGGGGAGGGGGTTCCAGAGTCGGGGGGCCACCACAGAAAAGGCCCTGTCTCGCGTCCCCACCAAACGCACCTGCAACGCAGGTGGATTCACGAGCAGGGCCTCTCCAGATGAGCGAAGTGAGCGCGTGGGTTCATAAACGGAGATGCGGTCACGCAGGTAGGAAGGTCCCAAACCATTCAGGGTTTTGTAGGTTAGCACCTGCACCTTAAATTGGGCTTGGAAGATAAACGGCAGCCAGTGGAGCTCCTTGAACAGGAGGATTGATCTCTCTCTGTAAGAGGCCCCAGTTAACATCCTGGCTGCTGCCCGTTTGACCAGTTGGAATAGATAGGGATATAGATTGATAGAGATAGATAAACAGAAAGATATAGATAAGATATAGATAAGGATAGATAGAGACAGTAGATAAAGATCTAGAAACAGAGATAGAAATAGTAGATATATGTGTGTGTGTGTCCGAGAGAGAGAGAGAGAGAGAGAGAGAGAGAGGTGGGAGGGCTGTGTGGCTGTGGAGGTCCCTGCTGCTCCCTTGTTTCTGAGCAGAGGGAGCAGGCCCTCCGCCAGCCAAGCCCTATATATCTATCTCTCCTTCTCTCTCTCTCTCTCTCTCTGGGACAGGAAAGGGAAGAGACCGCCATGATGGGGTAAATAAAGAAGAAACAGGTCAGAAAGCAGAGCTGAAGGAAAGGCCATTGTTTACCCAGGAAAGAGATGGCAAAGGAGGGAGCATCAATGGCTGAGCTGATCTCACAGAAGAGGGGGGAGAGCACACCGTGGAGGACTGGCTCCCTTCCGGAAGGCACTCCTCTCCCCCCTCAGAGGACCCCCTGCAGCCCAAGCCTCTCTTCCGGTGCCTCTCTAGGAAGGGACGCGCTCACCACTGGCTGGAAGGTTTTCCTTCTTCCCTTCTAGGAACCCCTCTCGCTCGCTTTAACCCTTCAGAGGAAGACCCAGCGACCAAGCCCTGGTCTCTGCTCCTCAGGAAGCCTCTCTCCTCCTTTTGGGGATGTAAGGCAACCTGCTAATGCAGTGGTTCTCAAGGGTCTAGAGCAGTGCTTCTCAACCTGTGGGTCCCCAGGTGTTTTGGCCTATAACTCCCAGAAATCCCAGCCAGTTTACCAGCTGTTAGGATTTCTGGGAGTTGAAGGCCAAAAACATCTAAGGACCCCATGTTGAATTTGCAAGGGTCTGGAGAACAAGCCCTATGAGGAGCAGCTTAAGGAGCTGGGCATGTTTAGCCTGAAGAAGAGAAGGCTGAGAGGAGACATGATAGCCATGTATAAATATGTGAGAGGAAGCCACAGGGAGGAGGGAGCAAGCTTGTTTTCTGCTTCCCTGGAGACGCATAGGAGACAATGGCTTCAAACTACAAGAAAGGAGATTCCATCTGAACATGAGGAAGAACTTCCTAACTGTGAGAGCCGTTCAGCAGTGGAACTCTCTGCCCCGGAGTGTGGTGGAGCTCCTTCTTGGGAAGCTTTTAAACAGAGGCTGGGTGGCCATCTGTCGGGGGTGCTTTTGAATGCAATTTTCCTGCTTCTTGGCAGAATGGGGGTTGGACTGGAATTGGCCCCAGACTGTGAGAGCTTGTATTCAGTAGGTGGAACTCTTCTGCCCCCAGAGTTGGTGGTGACCGCTCACCTTTTCTTTGGAAGGCTGTTTTAAACAGAGGCCTTGATGGCCCATCCCTGTCCCCCAGGGGTTCTTTTGAAAAATGCAATTTTTCCCTGCCTTTTTTTTTGGCCAAATTGATGGGTTTTGGACTGGGATGGCCCATGGACCTGTGAGAGCTTGTTTTCACGTAGTAAAACTTTCTCCTGCCCCGGAGTGGGTGGTGAGGCTCCTTCTTTGGAAGCTTGCTGGATGGGGCTGGATGGCCATCTGTTCGGGGGTGCTTTGGAGCTGCGATTTTTTTCCCTGCCTTCTTTGGCAGAATGGGGTTTGGACTGGATGGGCCCCCAGACTGGTTGGAGAGCTGTTCAGCTATGGAACTCTCTGCCCCAGAGTTGTGGTGGAGGATTCTTCTTTGGAGGCTTTTTAAAACATAGGCCCTGGATGGCCATCCTGTTCAGGGGTGCTTTGAATTCCCATTTTTTTCACCTGCTTTTTTTTTTTTTTGGGCCATAGTTTTAGGTTCCATCTGAACATTAGGAAGAACATGAGGACTGTGTTCAGCAGTGGAACTCTCTGCCCCGGAGTGTGGTGGAGGCTCCTTCTTTGGAGGCTTTTAAACAGGCTGGATGGCCATCTGTCGGGGGTGCTTTGAATGTAATTTTCCTGCTTCTTGGCAGGGGTTGGACTGGATGGCCCATAAGTCTCTTCCAACTCTAGGATTCTATGATTCAACTTGTGGGTCCCCAGGTGTTTTGGCCTACCACTCCCAGAAATCCCACCCAATTTACCAGCTGTTAGACGCTTCCTTCTTGGGAGGAGAGCAATGTCCAATCTCGATAAAATAGTAAAGAGTAGAGACATCAGACCGGCAACAAAGATCCATTGCCTAGTCAAAGCCATGGTATTCCCTGTAGTCACCTACGGATGTGAGAGCTGGGCCTTAGGGAAGGCTGAGCAAAGGAAGATTGCACTGGGTTGTTGTAGGTTTTTTCGGGCCATATGGCCATGTTCTAAAGACATTCTCTCCTGACGTTTCGCCTGCATCTATGGCAAGCACCGTCAGAGGTAGTGAGGTGACTCTGAGGATGCTTGCCATAGATGCAGGCGAAACGTCAGGAGAGAATGCCTCTAGAACATGGCCATATAGCCTGAAAAAACCTACAACAACCCAATGTAACAGTTCTTCAATTAAAAATGATAAACAACAGTTTTGGAAACAGTTTGCAAAGACCTTACACGGGATAGAAATCAGCAATCTGACCCAAAATATTATTAAGTGTTGTTCCCAGCCCACATCCAGCCTGACCACAAACTCGAGGGCGTTGGGTACAAATTCAATGTGCTTGCCAAAAACTCTGGGGCAGCTCTGTTGTCCGAAACTGCTCAATAAACTGGATTAGATTCATTTTACACCACTCCTCCTATTCCCCCCCCCCCCCCCCCCCCCCCCCCCGCATCTCAGTCTGGCCGCTCTCACTCCGCCCCCTCTCTCGACCACATGTTCGGACACGTGTTCCCTTCCCTCATTCACAACCCCAGTTGTGCTATCAATGTAACGCTCGTGGCACTGGGACCCAGCTATCATACTATCACCGAATACAGTTTTCAGTTTTGTGGGGGAAGCAGAGCAAAGGATGTAGATGGGGAAATGCCAAAACATCTGGGGACCCACAGGTTGAGAACCACTGTTACTGCAAACATATCAATTATGTTGATTAAACAATAATAATAATAATAACTCTGAAAAATGAGACGGAGGGTCTGATTCTGGCAGCCCAAGAACAAGCCATTCGAACCAATGCCATCAAAGCCAGAATTGAAAAGTCAACAACAGATCTCAAATGTAGACTCTGCAAGGAAGCAGATGAAACAATAGATCACATCCTCAGCTGTTGCAAGAAGATTGCGCAGACAAACTACAAGCAGAGGCACAACACCGTTGCTCAGATGATTCATTGAAACTTGTGCCACAAATACCATCTGCCTGCGACAAAGAACTGGTGGGATCACAAGCCGGAAAAAGTTACAGAGAATGAACACGCCAAACTCCTCTGGGTCTTCCGGATTCAGACAGACAGAGTTTTGGAGCACAATACTCCTGACCTCACGATCATTTATTTATTTATTTATTTATTATTTGTTACTTTACTTGTATACCGCAGTTTCTCAGCCTGGTCGGCGACTCAACGTGGTTTACAACAAGACTAAAAACAACAACAATATACAATTTAAGATCAACAAAAGCATAATACACAATATTAGCACAACAATAGTTAACCCGATACAACTCATAACTAAAATCATGATCCAATTCGTCGTCCGATTTTCAATTCCTGTAATCATCACATTCATTGCACTGTTTAACCGAATGCCCGTTCAAACATCCAAGTTTTTAATCTTCTTCGGAACACCATTAGCGAGGGGGCTGATCTTACCTCCATGGGAAGGGCGTTCCACAGCCGAGGGGCCACCACAGAAAAGGCCCTGTCTCTCGTCCCCGCCAGCCGCACCTGTGAAGCAGGCGGGATAGAGAGCAGGGCCTCCCCAGAAGATCTTAGGGTCCTGGCGGGCTGATAGGCAGAGATACGTTCGGATAGGTAACTTGGGCCAGATCATGTTAAAAAACAAAGTATGGATCGTCGATGTTGCAATCCCAGGTTACAGCAAGATTGCAGAGAAACAACTGGAAAAGCTGACACAATATGAGGATTTCAAGGTCGAACTGCAAAGACTCTGGCACAAGCCAGTAAAGGTGGTCCCAATGGTGATCGGCACACTGGGTGCAGTGCCTAAAGACCTTGGCCTGCACAAACACAATTGGCACCGACAAAATTGCCATCTGCCAGCTGCAGAAGGCCACCTTACTGGAATCTGCACCCATTATTCACTGATACATCACACAGTCCTAGACACTTGGGAAGTGTCTGACATATGATCCAATTCAACAGCCAGCAGAGTGTCTGCTGTGGACTCATCTTGTTGTGTTTCAAATAATAATAGGCTCAGGACTGGTTTTGTCAGATGGATCTGAATGAGACAGACCCAGGGGAAACCTTCACCCAGCATTCACTCCACAAGCATTCTTTTCATCATCCATACTCACCATCTTCTGCAGCCAAGCCATCTTGGAAAGAGGCGACAGGTGAACAAAAGAAAGTGTCTCTTTTCCCACTGTTGTTTTCAATTGAATGATAACTTATTGTTTACCTAAAACTTGTGACACTGCATCACTTCCAGACACGTTTTTTTTTCTTTTCCTCCACTCAAGGAGCATTGTTTCTGACTTCCTTACTTTAAAAATCATTATCTCTGACCATATCAAAATGTCTTGTTTAATGCATTGTCGGAGGCTTTCATGGCCGGAATCACTGGGTTACTGTAATAATAATAATAATAATAATAATAATAATAATAATAATAATAATAATAATAATTTATTTGTACCCCGCTACCATCTCCCCAAGGGACTCGGTGCGGCTTACATGAGGCCGAGCCCACAATACATCAGCAAAAACAACAACAGTAATACAAAACAATAAAATAAAACTCATAAACAAAAATAGGCAGTAAACATCAACAATAACACAATAACATTTAAAAATATGGCTGGACCAAATGTAATGATTAAAAATTTAAAAATAATGCTGAAAAAGACAGGTAAAATATAACTAGGATAGAATTTCGGAAAAGAATGGGGCGAGCAGACATTCCTAGATCACTAATAAAGTGCATTGTAAGTTTTTCGGGCTATATCGCCATGTTCCAGAAGCATTCTCTCCTGACATTTCACCTGCATCTATGGGAGGCATCCTCAGAGGTTGTGAGGTCTATTGGAAACGACATGATCCTATTCAAAATACTGTTTGCTGGGGGGGGGGTCTATAGAGGATGATGGGTGTTGGGAGTCCAGCCACTTCCTGACTCAATGGGTCAACAAGTGTTAGTGGGGTGAGAGTATATGTTTACAGCCAAAAGATTCATTCAGATAAATCCATGTCCACTTCAGATCTGTGTGTGTGTTGAATGCCTTCAAGTTCTTTCCAAAGTATGCCGACTCTATCATAGGATTTTTGTGGCAATAGTTGTTCAGAGAAAGTGTGTCCTCTGAGGTTGAGAATGTGCGATTCATCCATGCTCACTCAGTGGGTTTTGATAGCCAAGCAGAACCTTGGTCTGTGGAGTTACAGTTCAACACTCAAATCTACTGCACAATACTGGCTTCATGTTTACACAAAAGGAAATCCTCCTGAACTATATTTAGAATACATAATTATTGTTACAGTAAGTTGTAGCAGGACCAAGTGTGTGTGTGTGTGTTGAAGAAAAACCTTATGATGGTAATTATTATGTGCAGCTGGTAATGTAGGTCAACCAGCAATCAGTTCTGGAGAGCTTTTTCTCTGAGGAGATCTATGCTCAAAGGCTCTGCTCTGAGGATCAGGTTGGAGAGAAGCCGTCATGCTGCTCTAAAGGAGGCTATGGTGGAATAGCTGTTTGCTCAAGGTTTATGTTTTGCTTTCTCATTTGACTGAAGGTGAAGATGCCTTATTTTGTGTTACTTACAAAGACCATGTAAGATTCTTGCACTGTTTGTTTTTATATGCAACATTGCCAGTTTGTGTTTCATCTTTGCTATTAAAGAGTAAAGATTTTTCTGATCATTTTTACTCTTGTCTGTGTGTCTGGTGCTTGGGATGTGGCTAAGATCCACTTGCTGCACAACAATTATTAGTGCTACTAAATTGGAATGAACTCATTTCCCCACTTGAAATAATTAAAATTCTCAAATTAGTTTTCAACTGTAGCATTCCAACAAGCCTAGACAACAAGACAGCAGAACATTTTGGCTTTGTAAAAACCTTGTATTTTGTGAAGCAGAAATACAGGTTGCTATTTTTTAAAACAGACATGTATACTTTCAAAGAGAGACATCAGGTTATTAATTTTTTTAAAGTCAATATTTTGAACTCAGTGGCTCTGTGACAAAGATTCGGGACCTTTCTGAATCTCTGATGTAAAAAAAGGGAACTCGTCTTCCTCCAGTTTTACTTGCACCACCGTGTGACACATTTGATGATTCATAAGGTTTCTCTTCTGACTGAAACTCTTTCCACACTCCAGGCATATAAATGGTTTCTCTCCTGTGTGAGTTGCCTGATGTCGAACAAGGTGTGCCTTCTGACCAAAACTCTTTCCACATTCTGAGCACTTAAATGGTTTCTCTCCTGTGTGAGTTCCCTGGTGAATAACAAGGTGTGATTTCCGTCGGAAGCACTTTCCACACTCAGAACATTTAAATGGTTTATCCCCTGTGTGAGTTCCCTGGTGAAAAACAAGGTGTGACTTCTGACTGAAGCTCTTTCCACATGCTGAGCATATAAATGGTTTCTCCCTTGTGTGAGTTGCCTGATGGCGAACAAGTTCTGCCTTTTGACTGAAGTTCTTTCCACACTCTGAGCATATTAAGGGTTTCTCTCCATGAGTCGACTGATGAAGAACAAGGGATGTCTTCCGACTGAATGTCTTTCCACACTCTGAACATTTGAAGGGTTTCTCTCCTGTGTGAGTTCCCTGATGGAAAATAAGGTGTGACTTCTGACTGAAACGCTTTCCACACTCCAAGCACATAAATGGTTTCTCTCCTGTGTGAGTTGTCTGGTGAAGAATGAGGTATGCCTTCCAACTAAAGCTCTTTCCACACTCGGAACACATAAATGGTTTCTCCCCTGTGTGAGTGTATTGATGGCGAACAAGGTGTATCTTTTGGCAGAAGCTCTTTCCGCATTCTGAACATTTAAAGGGTTTCTCTCCTGTGTGAGTTGCCTGATGAACAACAAGGTTTGACTTCTGACTGAAGCTCTTTCCACACTCGAAGCATATAAATGGTCTCTCTCCTGTGTGTGTTGCTTGATGAACAACAAGGTGTGATTTCTGACTGAAAATTTTTCCACACTCGAAGCATATAAATGGTTTCTGCCCTGTGTGAATTGATCGATGACGAATAAGATGTCTCTTGTGACAATAGCTCTTTCCACACTCCAAACATTTAAATGGTTTATCCGGTCTGTGAATTGCTGGATGACAGGTGAGCTGTTCCTTCCAACTGAAATTCTTTCCATATTCCAAAGATTTAAATGGTGTCGCCTCTGTTGACATAGTTTGAGAAGTGTGACCATGGAATTAAAAGAAAATGTTATATTAAGGTTATCCTTGCCTGGTTGAAAAGCATACAAATTGCAATATGCATTTAGTCAAGTTAGCCCTTTCCCACACTGCTTGTTAATTAAAGAAAACATCTGTTCTGTCTTTGCTCCAGAAATTATACCAAGACAGAAGTCTCAAAATAAATCATATCTAAACCAGGACTGGGGAAAATATAACTGCTTATCCCTAGGAAGGACAAAAAGGAGGAAGGGAAGGATGGAAAGAGAAAGAGGGAGAGATGGAAGGAGGGAGGAAAGAGGGAAGGAAGAAAAGGCAAAAGGGAAGGAAGGAAGAATGAAAGGGCGGAAGGGAAGGATTGAAGGGAAAAAAGGGAAGGAGGAAGGAAAAAGAGAAGGAAGAAAGAAAGGGAGGAAGAGAAGGATGCCAGGTAGGGTGAAGGAAGGGAAGATTAAAGGAAAGAGAGAAGGAAGGAAAGACAAAAGGAAGTAAGTAGAAAGAGGGAGAGAAGGAGGAGAGGCAAGGAAAGAAGGATGAAAAGGTGGAAGGGAAGGATAGAAGAAGAAAGATGGAGGGAGGGAGGGAAGGAGGAAGGAAAGACAAAAGGGAAGGAAGGAAGGAGAAAAAGGGAGAGAGGGAGGAAAGAGGCAAAGAAGGAAGGATGAAAAGGTGGAAGGAAAAGTTGGAAGAAGAAAGATGGAGGGAAGGGAGGGAGGGAAGGAGGAAGGAAAGACAAAGGGGAAGGAAGGAAGGAAGGAAGGAAGGAAGGAAGGAAGGAAGGAAGGAAGGAAGGAAGGAAGGAAGAAAGAAAGAAAGGAAGGGGGGATGAAAAGGTGGAAGGGAAGGATGGAAGAAGTAAGATGGAGGAAAGGAAGGGAGGGAAGGAAGGGAGGGAAGGAGAAAAGAAAGACAAAAGGGAGGGAAGGATGAAAGGGTGGAAGGGAAGGATGGATGGAAGGAAAGGCAAAAGGGAAAGAAGGAAGGAAGGAAGGAAGGAAGGAAGGAAGGAAGGAAGGAAGGAAGGAAGGACAAATGGGTGGAAGGGAAAGAGAAAGATGGAGGAAAGAAGGAAGGAAAGAGGGAAGGAAGGATAAGACGGTGAGAGAGAGAAGGAGCTGAGAAAAGATCCCAAGGGGGCTGAATCCTACCCTAGTCTCTCTGAAATCCTCTTACTTCTGGCATTAGAAAGCTAAAAACCCCTCATTTTCCTGATGCCATGAAGTTAAGGAAACTTAATTTCATTGCATTATGTGTAGGGGAAACACCATGGAAGACTATTGCTATCACGTGAAAGAAAGCCAGATGGTGTACACATTCTTTAGCCATTTCTCCTTTTCTTCTTTCTTCTTTCTATGCCCCCCCCCCCCCCCCCCCCGGAAAAGCTCTAAAGAGGTGATGGTCTCCTTTAAGAGAACAGGTTGTTTATCCTTCAAGGTTAAAAACTGACCAAGGTGGTAAAGCCTTGAAATGCTGGAGGATATCCTAGTCCAGATGGATGACCTTTATTCCTCTTATCTTATAAAATTATGGGAGATATTTGCTATGTCAGAACAACAGGCAAAACAGGCATGATTAATTAGGGTATTATTCTGAGCAGTATGTAAGTTTTGGCTTCAGTAAGGTATTAAAATCTGTACATTGCAGCTAATGCTGAATCTTGATGCAGGTTGAGACCGGAAAGGTGCTGCATGCTTGCTCGATTGGGATGTCCTTGTTGCAGTGACATAACAATAACAAATGTCTGATTTGTATCATCCTAAACTATCTGCATTTCCATTTCTAGTCTCTGCTGAGGTCTCCTTGTTGCTGGTGCAGAGGTTCCCAACAAAAGACTGAAGAAATATTCATGTGTTTTGATGGCAAATAATTTGCCTAGAATTCAAATAATATGGCAACTCTACCCATCTGCCAACTCTCTTCTTGGACTGACCTCCATGTGGGAAAAGAATGAGATTATTTTCTGTGGCTTCAGAGGAAAATAATAATAATAATACTAATAATAATAATATATAATAATAATAAAACTTTATTTATAGCCCACCTCCATCTCTCCAGGGGGACTCGGGGCAGATAACATGAGGCCAAGCTCAACAATTACAACAAAGCAAAAGCAAAGATTTGAAACAACGAATGATTAACATTTGCAAATAAAATAGGTTTACCAAGAAAGGACACGATTTCCAAGTTCTCCTCCTTGACTTGCTGGTACAAGGCTCTTTGGCCAGGATCCAAGAGGGCCCACTCCTCCTCTGTAAAATCCACATCCACATCTTCAAAGGTCACCTAAAGACAAAAAAGGTTATCTGCGAGGAGGAAATACAACCCCAGTTGGAAAGGAAAACCAGACTATTTGTAATTGACCTCTCCTAAGAAGTTTTAATTGTTAGCATCTTGGATGGAAGGAAAGAAAAAGAAGGGGATTCAGTTAGGCCGGGTGATACTCACAGAATGTGTTCATTCAGTCTCCTTTCAGGGACCATGCTGCCTACCTGATCCGGTCTCTCGGAGTATCTTCTTAGTAAGGAATCGTGAAAAGATGTGCTACTACCATTTGGCCATGTTTCATTGCCTAAGAAAGAGATGAAACACAGTGGGGAGGGTGAGACCAGGCTCCGTTCCAAGCTGACCCCACAGTTCTTAGCCTTGAAAGCCTGTCACTCCCTTGCTTCATGATCCTCTTATAATAATAATAATAATAATAATAATAATAATAACAACAACAACAACAACACAAAGACTCTGGCACAAACCAGTAAAGGTGGTCCCAGTGGTGACTGGCACACTGGGTGCAGTGCCTAAAGACCTTGGCCTGCACTTAAACACAATCAGCGCTGACAAAATTCCCATCTGCCAGCTGCAGAAGGCCACCTTACTGGGATCTGCACACATTATTCGCCAATACATCACACAGTCCTAGACACTTGGGAAGTGTCCAGCGTGTGATCCAATTCAACAGCCAGCGGAGTGTCTGCTGTGGACTCATCTTGTTGTGTTTCAAATAATAGCTTTATTTGTACCCCGCCTCCATCTCTCCAAAGGGATTCAGGGCAGCTAACATGGGGCCAAGCCCAAGCAATTACAATAGGGCAAAATAGTATAAAATACATACAAAAACAGATCATAACACCAGGTAAAAATGCTAAACAACAACATGGTAATACAATAAAATTGCGACAATAACATAATAAAACAGAGTATAAAATGGTACAAGGATTAAACGAGGGCGAGCTGGGTTTGGTTCCTAAGTCTTTAAGGTCATGCTGTGAAACATGACCTACCCTATAATTCAGGGTTAAAGATGTTGGCTAAAGTCAGTTTTAGTAGATTATAATGGCAGTTGAACTTTCTTAGACCATGCAGAATAATTAATAATGTAACAAGTTACAGTTCGTAACTGTGAAAGAAATAATTTATTGGGACTACTATACAAGCATATACTGAAACATCAAGAAAGAATCTTCCTGTACATGACCACAGTAGCAAGAATTGAATTCTATGGAAGTAGCTTAGGGCTCTTCCAGGCAGGCCCTGTATCACAGAATCTGATCTCAGGTTTTCTGCTTCAAACTTCAAATTTCAAGCTGCCCTGGAGACTAGGACACAATGGAGCAAACTACAGGAAAGGAGACTCCACCTGAACATTAGGACAAACTTCCTAATGGTGAGAGCTGTTCAGCAGTGGAACTCTCTCTCTGCCCCTGAGTGTGGTGGAGGCTCATTTTTGGAGGCTTTTAATCAGAGGTTGGATGGCCATCTGTCGGGGGTGCTTTGAATGCAATTTTCATACTAATTGGCAGAATGGGGTTGGACTGGATGGCCCACCAAGTCCCTTCAAACTCTAGGATTCTATGATTCTAACATCCATCCATCTACTTCCAATTGACTCTCTTAATTATTGTCAATTGCCTCAATTGATCAAAAATAAATCCCATTTCAAAATCTTTCTCTCCCTCATAAAGTCCCCTTCCTGTCATCACTGCCATCTTTCTGTTGTGATTTGTTACTTGCAGTTATTCCCAAGTATTGCTGGACACAGATTCATACAAACTCTGTTCAGAACATATTTGCAAGGTCCTTTTATTCTCTTTTTCCAGGAGCAGTTTCTAAGGGAGTCACTTTGGTATTCTCTCTAGAATCAGCCCATCTTCTCAACAGTATAGAGAACCCATTTTAAAATTGGTGAAAACGTCTATATTTGGTGTTCTCTCTACAATCCCAAAACACACAAATTGAGGAGTTCTATAGAGGGCTAGGAATGCTAAATGGGCAAAGAATGCTGAGTGAACTCTTTCATAGTGGTAAGCAAAGGGTGTGTGAAGAGGATAGAATGAAAATGTCCGAAATGGACACCAAGTTATAAAAACAAGCATTTCCTTGGTCTTTTCTTCTTACACACATCAGGTTTCAAATGGCTGCTTAGGACATATAAGCTCCCACAGAGCTGGAAGTCACACAGCTCAGACATTTCAGGACCACTCCAGAGGAAGGATCCCTTTCCCCCCAAAACCTTACCAACTGGGATGAATTCTCCACCTCCAACCACGACAACACAAATGGTGTCCGAAAGAGACTTCTCCACATTGTTGTTCTCATAAGCAAAAGATTCCTGCACCTAAACAAGAAGCAAAGTTGACAAAAAAGCATGATTAGAAAAGATGGATTTTGCGGACAAGTTCCAGAATGCTCAGACTGTAGCTGTGGAGCCAATTCTGATTTTGTTCACTCTATACATTGGTTTTGGTGGGAGAATTCTGGCTTTAGGGCTTTCTATTCAGCTGTAGATCTTGGACAAGTAACAAGTGCTTTCTTGTTTATTTAAAATTTGATATAATAGGATATTTATTATTTTACTGAGCAACATATGTATCATTATAAAATTTGCAGAGATAGTAATATGTCATATATCACCAATTTACTTTTTAAAACTAACTCCCCCCACCCCTCCCCATGTAAATACAGTAACTGTAACATTAAAAAAGTAAAAATGGAATTCCCGCATTGAAAGCATGCATTTAAAATATTCCACTAATGTCTTAACTTGCCATACCAATAACTTATCTTCATTCACCTTGTTAATGCGCTAGCCCTCGCACTATGCTACTCTGCTGTTGAGAATGCATGCCCAGTGTGGAACACATCTCACCACGCTCAAACAGTGGATGTAGCTCTTGATGAGACATGCGGCATTATCACAGGGTGTTTGCACCCTTCACCACTGGAGAAATTACACTGTTTAGCCAGTATTGCACCACATGACATCCTCCGGGGAGTAGCAACCAATAGTGAAAGGACCAAGGCAGTGACATTTCCAGTCGATCCTCTGTTTGGGTATCAGCCAGCACGCCAACGACTTACATCAAGAAATAGTTTTCTAAGATCTACAGAGACACTCGCTGGGACACCTCAGCAAGCGAGAGTCCAGAAGTGGCAGCCTCAAACCCAGAACCTCAATCAATGGCTGATACCAAATGAGAGACTCCCTCCTGGGCACACAGAAGACTGGGTGACTTGGAAGGCGCTGAACAGACTGCACTCTGGCACCACCAGATGCAGAGCCAACTTTAAGAAATGGGGCCACAAAGTGGAGTCCACGACTTGCGAATGTGAAGAAGAGCAAACCACAGGCCACCTACTGCAATGCAACCTGAGCCCTGCCACATGCACCATGGAGGACCTTCTTGCAGCAACACCAGAGGCACCCCAAGTGGCCAGCTACTGGTCAAAGGACATTTAATAGAATACCAAGTCTGCAAACTTTGTATTTTGTTTGTTTGTTTTTAAAGCAATGCAATTGTTTTGGTTTGCTCCTGACATGATAAATAAATAAATTAACCTTGTTATCCTATTTTGCTATTGCTATATTTTTCTTAATCTTCAAAATCCACAAGCATTTTTACATTTAGTAGTCAGTCAGTCAGTAGCCTTTATTTCGGTCAACAAACCATCAGCTAAGTCAATTGGGAGTAGAATGATAGAACGCAACATTTGAATAATTAATAACATCGCCTTTGGCTTATAATTAATGATAACAAGTATCACCACTTGCTATTGATGGAATGACTATCTTTATAATCTAAAACAGGAATTGACTGCCAATTAGTAATAAGTCTCCTGAGTATTCTTTGTTACGCTCTCGGCACTTACAATTTATTCATGAAGCACATTTAGTTTTTTTAGAAGTGTTTTCATACTACACAGTTAAATGGCTATGATTCCGCTTTAATCACCCTGACTGGGGCCTCTGGAATCCCGAGACTCATTATTTAGGAAGGTGGTGTACATATGTACTTTCAAATCCCCATTGATGTATCTCAACCCTATGGATTTCATTTGGCTTCTTAGGCAAAGAACACTCTAAAGTTTATTTATTATTTATTTATTTATTTGCTTCATTTTTATACCGCATTTTTCAGCCCTTGACAGGCGACTCAATGCGGTTTACAGTGCAATTAAAACACAACAATACAACAACAGGGTCGACGACGTCGCTCCACAACAATTAACAATCAGACAGGACAAATCAACAACCAACATATATAACGCCTCAGTTGAAGTCAGATCCATTCTCATAGTCATTGTGCCGTTCCTATGTTTCAATTACCGTCTTCCTTAATTAGTTGCATTGCCTAGCCAAACGCTTGTTCGTAAAGCCAGGTCTTAACCTTCCTCCGGAACGCCAGCAACGAAGGGGCCTGTCTGATGTCTACAGGTAAGGCATTCCATAGCCGAGGGGCCACCACCGAGAAGGCCCTGTCCTTCGTCCCCGCCAAGCGCGCCTGTGACGCAGGCGGGACCGAGAGCAGGGCCTCCCCAGACGATCTTAATGTCCTAGTCGGTTCATAGGTGGAGATGCGTTCGGAGAGGTAAAGTTGGTTTTGCCACTTCCTTCCTCTGAAATACAGTCCACTGCAGTTGTTAAGTTGTTGTTATGTTTATGTATATCCCACTTTTTCTCTCCACAAGGAGACTCAAAGTGGCTTGCATTAAATGCATTCGAGTACAATTTTAAAACTAAAAATATATAGTCGAAAGCTTTCATGGCTGGAATCACTAGGTTCTTGTGGGTTTTTTCGGGCTATATGGCCATGTTCTAGAGGCATTTCTCCTGACGTTTCGCCTGCATCTATGGCAAGCATCCTCAGAGGTGACCTCACCTCTGAGGATGCTTGCCATAGATGCAGGCGAAACGTCAGGAGAAATGCCTCTAGAACATGGCCATATAGCCCGAAAAAACCCACAAGAACCTAAAAATATATAAATGTTAAAACAGAATTAAATATAATTGGTATTTTTAAAATTAATTAAAATCAATAAATAATATTCAAAGTAAAAATCACAGCACCCCCTGACTTGATCTTAAAAACATTCTTTAAGTGCCTGCCTGAACAGAAAGCATTTAACTTGCTACTGGAAGGACAGCAAGGAGAGGGCCATTTTGGCCTCCCTGGGAAGAAGAAAGGAGTTCCAGAGTCAAGGGGCATTTGCCACAGAGAAGGAAGGCTTGCTCTCTCATTCCCACCAACCAAGCTGGAGATGGAGATGGCACTCTCAGCCTACTCTTTACCAAGGTGGACACATCTGAGTCCTTCACCCTTTCCTCATATGATTTGCTCTCTGCATATTATTGTCCCTGTTAATGTTCTATGAAATTGAAACTGCTGGGAATTGTGGGAGTTGAAGTCCAAAACACCTGGAGGGAGGGCCAAAGTTGGCCCATGCCTAGTTTATATTTCCATTTACAAACCCACACGATCCCTTTGATCCTCTGGAGAGGCCCTTCTTTCGCTCCCGCCCGCATTGCAGGTACGACTTGCGTGGACGAGAGGGCCTTCTCTGTGGTGCCCCCCGGCTCCCCAGAGACATTAGACAAGCCCTCACACTGGCAATTTTTAGGAAGAATTTGAAAAGCTGGTTATTCCAATGTGCCTTCAGTGATTGAATGTAAGATTCTCCCTGACCACAATTTGCACAAAACGTCCTTAGACTCATTTATTTTATGGGTTGTGCAATTAAATCCTTACTCATTCTTGGAGCCTCCTCTTTATAAGTCACACTGTCCTATCTCCCAGTGTTTTCATTTTATTTTTATAATTTTATCCATGCATCTGGCCCTGCCTAGTGAAATTCCCTGTGTTTTTAATGTTTGATTTTATACTGTTTTGTTGTATATTATTTTGATTTTGCATTTTATGTATTTTGCTCATTTTACTGTGTTTTGTGTTATATTGCTTGTATTGTATCGATGGGTGTGGCCTCATGTAACCCACACTGAGTCTCCCTGGGGGAGATGGAGCGGGGTATAAATAAAGTTATTATTATTATTATTATTATTATTATTATTATTATTATTATTATATCCTTCTTTAAAATGAGGCCTGGACTCACTGGAGTGATTACTTCCCCTCTCTTGGAAACTATCCTTCCATTAATGCAGGTTAAAGTCAGTTTAATCCTTCTTTACTCGTGCCTCTTTTATAGCTGGATGAGATCCATAACAAATAGAGAAGTCTGTTAGAAGTTCAAATTAACCTGCAACACAATTGTTTTTGGCTTCTTGGAGTTACTAAGGTGAGTCTGCCTCACCTGGGGCATCTCCAGCTTCCTCTCCTCTTGGGCCCGACTGAGGAGGAAGCCTTCCGCCAGGGCCACCGCCTGGGAAGAGGTCTCTGCCCCACACTCTCGGACCCAGCTCCCCATCTCTGGGGGCAGGATGCTCAGGAACTGCTCCAGGATCACCAGGTCCAGCATCTCCGCCTTGGTGTGTTGCTCTGGCTTCAGCCACTGGCGGCCGAGAGAGTGGAGGCGGCTGCAAACCTCTCTGGGTCCCTCGCCCTCTCGGTAGGAGGAATGCCTGAAGCGCTGGCACTGTATGTCTGCGCTATTATGGTCCATGCTCAGGAACTTGGGCATAGTTCTTTCCCAAGATTCCCCACTGCTCCCAAGTCCTGCTTCAGGTCCAGGTGAGTTGGGTGTCTCCCTGTTGCAATCACCGTTTGGTGAAGAACCAATCTGTATCCACGATACTTTTCCTCCCTCTTCTTTCAAGGGAAAGAAATCCCCCAACAGGCTCTGGCCCTGTAGGTCTGAACTATAATGGTCCACGCTCAGAAACTTATGCGTAGTTCTTTCCCAGGTTTCCTGGGAAAGTCCTGCTTCAAGTCCAGGTGAGTTGGGTCTCTCCATGTTGGGACCACTCTTTGATGAAGAACCAAGCGGTATCCTGCTTTCCAGGCCTTTTTTCCAAGGGTTCTCTGTCTTGACAGCAGAAGGCAATGTTTGTAACTGGGAGGCTGATGATTCTTGCCTTTCCATCCTTGTTCTGTGCCTCTCAGGGGCCTCCAAAGTGGATGGAGCAACCCTTCGCTCTTCTGCCAGATCTTCTCCCCAAGAGGAGGACCAACAACATGGGCAGGGCCTACAGACAAACCAAAACAAAACACAAGATGAAAGAGCTGAAGCCTATCAAGTTAGGATCACATTGCCAACATTGGAGTGTTTCCTTGGGACTGAGCAGGCAGTGTCCTCCTCCTCCTCCTCCTCTCAGAAAGGAAAGAAGAGGGTCCAAGGTCAAGAGACTCCCAATGAGTTCAAAGGCAAGGACCAATTCCTTTGGCCCTGTCCTGTTTCCAAGGGGCGTTGTTATGGAGACAGAAGGAAGCCGGCTGGGAGAAGACCAAGACAGACCGGAAGCGGAAGAAGAGGATTCTTCCCCTCTAGGAACGCCTCTCTGTCGCTTTAACCCTTAAAGGGACAGCGGTGCAGGGAGTCCTCCAAAGGCAGGAGGAAGAGGAAGTGAGGGTGCCGCTTCCGGAAGGGAGCCAGCTTCCTGAAGACAGAGGCAGAGGTGAGTCTCTTCCCTTGTCTGTCCAGGGGAGGGAAAGGGGGTCTCCCTAGGCATACTATCTATATATATATGGGAGATCCCAACCTGGAAAGCTCCTCTGTTACTGTCTCCCAGGACTTTGGTGCCTTTTCTTCTTTTGCCTTCCCAACCATCTGCTCCCCTTCCCCAGATACAGTAGGGCGACTAAAATGATCAAGGGTCTGGACAACAAGCCCTATGAGGA